ATCTATGACACGGGACACACGGCTTAAAGTCCCTCCCGGAGGACTTGTTCCCTGAATTTTTCCGCCCTAAAAAATTGCACGACCTCCGCCGGGTTTGAAGCCGCATACCTTGAGTCATGAGGTGGGAACGTTACCCCTAGACTACGGAGGGCGCTTAGCTCTTGTAAAAATGTCTGAAAAACTAACAGCTTACCACTAAAACCCAGAATCATCGGTCATAACAGTTGGAAAGAAATAATTTTGTTATATTTATATATTTTGTTATAAAATTTCCATAATTTTGTTACTGTTTTATAATGTAATCCACTGTAACATCATCTCACTTCCTAATCCTAGATTGAAATGTGAAAGGGTTGATACTTTTTGAAATTTATTTTTGAGCACATCTGTTGTTTTCATCTACAATAAGTTGCATGAGAGTTTATAAACAAGAAATTGTGGGAAGAACTAATTTCCTACATTTCTTTCCTTACAAACTGAGTTTTTGGTATAGCAGGTGGTGCCAAACTTTATTATGTATGTGTAAGTAAGTCAATAAAACAGTAATATGATTTTGATTTTTATAGAACCTGAATTGCACATGTATTAAAACAATTTATAGTGGTAAAGTTGATGCCAGAGCCTCATCAGCAAGAATGGTGTGCCATGGGAGATGGGAATGGCTGTAGGATAGGAGAGGCTCAGTGAGAGGTTAAGCTTGCAGCCAAATGTACTGTATATGTTAAACTACAAATACAGAAATTAAATGCCAGATGTAACATCTGTGTCAAATCATGCTGATTGGTTAATTTTCCTGCCTGTGGTACTACCATGTGAGCCATGCAAACTTTTGAGGTGGGAGCATCAGACTCTCATATCAAGGATTCTGATGTTCTTTGGTGATTCATCTTTCAAGAATATATGAGAATTGTTTGTAACATTTAAAGAACAACATACATACATGCATACATGCATACATGCATACATACATACATACATACATACACACACACACACACACACACACAGACACACACACACAGACATACATTGGTTATCAATTTTGTATGGTGGCAGGAAAGTATCATCATGGTGATGCATCTGGTTTTTGAGGTTATGTATGCAACATTCATCCTGTACCATTATAGTTCTGAGGGCAAGAACATTCATGGAGATATGTTTACAAGTTTATGTAGAAGGCAGCAGAAACATACTGATGAGTCACCTGATATGTGCAGGTGAGCTTCCTGGAAGTGAGTCACCTGTCATTTGTCCGTGGACTGGGAATGAAGAGCAAGGAGGGACTCGTGCAGAAGAGAACTGGCAGCACACAGCGTGGCAGAGTGGGCTGCAACTTCTGCGGGCTTCTGGACCACTATATTTGTGTCAGGTGTGCTTAGACAAAGCAAGAAGTTTGAGTCAATGAAGCCTATTGTGGCAGCATCTACCCCAAAGGGTAGATGTACCTGCTCCTTCCTGAGTTCTATGGGAAATACTGTATTATACTTGTTTCAAAATAAGCACTGTTATGGCCTTGATTGAATGATGTTACAGCAGTTGAGACCCATGGTAGCTACATACAATAGATAGTAGAAAGTATAGCCCATAAGCACACCCACAACTAATATACTTGCAAGCCACCATTACAGTAAAGGTAAATTAAAAATAAAGAAGCTATCCCCATAACAGACCATGGAGGCCCATAGGGTTGTGAGACGTTGAGGCTCCCACATTTCCTAGACATTCGGCTCATGGATGGCAGTGAGATTGTTAACCCTACATGCTGGTCATCCTTTACCCCCAGGAAGATTCCTGGTACTCATTTCTGTTAGAAACTCGGTCGACCCCAGGGTCATAGCATGGCTGGAAGGATTAGGTAAATTGTAAAATCCTATGAGCTCCTTGGGAATCGAACCCACGACCTTCCAGCTTGTATCATAGTGCCTCAGGCAGTTATGCTACCGCGTGCCGCAAGTGTAAGTGAATTAGCAAACACAAATTAAGGTATCATTGAATGTAACAATAATGTAAAGAATTGTTACAAATTAGCCTGGTTAAATTACAAGTATACCCTGTGTTCCATCTTCACATTAAATCCCCAACATGAATTTAAAAATATCAGATTAAGACAAAATCGGCAAAATATAATTTAATCAAAGAGACATTCCTGCTCGTGAAGCAACTCCCTGCTCATGAGATCAAACCAGCAGCACATCTCTACAAGAAAGATCGATTCAGCAACATCTCTCCATTCGAGAGATCAGTCAGCTACATATCTCCGCTCCAAGACACCAGACCAGTAACACTGCTCCATGCTAGAGACCAGACCAGGAAGTTTCTGTCCGAAACCTTGCATTATAATATCAGAGCACAGGATTTCAGACTAGAGTGACATAGGCAAGGGCCAACACAGGCCCTACCAGGGGTTAGGGGAAGGGGAAGGAAAGTCCCTGAGACATTTCCCACAAGGCACCTTGCCTGAGTGATCCCAACTGCTTGCAAATGGACTGACACTTGGAAGCTGGCTTCTCTTTGCTTGAGGCTCTGAGTTTGACACCCAGAAAGAGTTGTGTTTATATGAGGTAGGTCTGACTTCCGTGCTGGCTGCTAAGTCTTTAGATTTGATTACCGGGCTGCCTTGTGTTGTTTGATATTGTGGGTTTCTCTCTTGGGGTGCGTGATACTGTACATTTGACTTATGTGCTTGCCTCAATATGATGGTTGGCTTACACTGGCACTTGTGTTTTTAGATGAGGCATAGTGTGTAGAAGGTTACAGAGAAGGTTCTGTCAGTCTTTGTGTTTGGCTTGCCCAACAGGTGTAGCTATATATGCAGTGACCTCTGTGGCACATGGCGACAACGCTGGCTCTTTGTGAAGGACACTTACATGGGATACATCTGTCCGAAGGATGGGCTCATCAAGTGTGTAATGCTGTTTGATTCAGGGTTTGAGGTGTCCTCTAGCATGTATGCCACAGGGCTGAGCCACGGGCTGCAGATTGCAACCCTCTCCAGGTATGTGTTTTTACCCAGCTGTTGGTGATGGACCAAATATGAGCCTTAGCCAACTATGCTACCGCGTGCCCCTGGATATGACCTAAGCTAAGGAAATTGGATGATATTTGGTACGTTGAATGTAAGAAGTCTATATGGGGCAGGGTTTGCTCATGACAATGGCACAAGAAATATCAAAATATAAGTTAGATGTAGCGGGAGTACAGGAGGTCAGATGGGACGGAGGTGGCATCACACCAGCAGGAGAACATACATTTTTCTATGGAAAGGGGAATGGGAATCATGAGTTAGGTACAGGTTTTATACAGGTTTTATGTACATAAGGGAATCATATCAGCAGTTAAGGGTACAGTTTGTTAGTGATAGGATGTCATGCATAATACTAAGAGGTCACTGGTGTGATACTATTGTTCTGAATGTTGGTGCCTGACAAATAAGAAAACTGATGATATAAAAGACAGCTTCCATGAGGAACATGTATTTAGTAAATTCCTTAAGTACCACATAGAAATTTTCGTAGCAGATATCAGTACCAAAGTACATAGAGAAGACATTTTCAAACTAATGATTGGAAGCGAGAGGTTACCAAAATTAGTGATGATAAGAGTAGTGAACATTGCCACATTGAAAAATTGAATTGTCAAGAGTACAATGTTCCCACATTGTAACATTCATAAATTTGGACATCATGTGATGGAAAGGCCCACAATCAAATTGACCATATTTGAGAGATAGAAGACAGCATTGAAGTTTACCTGATGTGCAATCTTTCAGGGAGAGACTGACAGTAAGGAAACCACACAAAATTTTCATATAGAGGTGAAATCCCAAGAAACTAAATGAGTTATAGAGTAAAGAACAGTATTGTGTTGAAATCTCAGATAGGTTTGCAGCTTTGGAAAACTTAGAAGATGATGTGGATATTGATAGAGCTTGTGAAACTATTACAGAGAGTATCCAAATTTCAGTGAGAGAGAGTCTGGGTTATTAGAAATTGAAGCAGCATAAGCCATGGTTCAGCAAAGGATGATCAAAACTATTGGATTAAATGAAACAAGCCAAATTGAAATGGTTACAGTATCTGAACAGAATAAATGAGGATAAGACATGAAGCTTGCAGGCATTTCAGGAATTAAAAGAGGGAATATATGAAAGGCAAAACTAATGAGTTTGCAACAGACACTAAGCACAAGAACATCAGAGAGTTCTATAGAGAAATAGATGAATTTAAGAGTAGTTACCAATCTAGAAGTAACTTAGTAAAGGATGAGAATGGTGATCTGCTTGCAGAATAGGCTGAACAACTACTTCTCTCACCTATTAAATGGACTGTGACGTGCCGCCAGGAAGGCCGGACAGTAAGACATCCATAAGTGGTCAATGTCTAGCAAGTCCTAGGCAGAAATGCTTAGGAAATCGTTGTCCCAGAGATGAAAGTCTAACAGTGGGGGGCTTCCACCTTTATTTGTAATGAGATGAATTCCCACGTCAACAAGAGATTCTCTGCATAGCAGCGGGCGAACTTAACCCTTCAACAAGGTGTTCCATATACAGCCTGAGTTCAGGATATAACAGTCCAACTTCAGCAAGAGACTGGTTAGTTCATATCCGATGAGAGCTAAGGACAGCTCCGAGCAGAACAGAAGACACTTCACTGAGATTAGCGGTGCAAGAGTTTATGGCATTGAAGGGGAAAGGTCCAAAGATGTTATAAGTGTGATTAATTGTATTTGTGAGTGTAAAGAGCGATTGTCCAATAAATATTTGTCCAAATCTGAGACCCATATAAATTTTCTTATCACATTACCTAAGAAAGACACGACAATACATAGGGTCAGTGATGTTAGGCAGATAGAAATACATACAGCTGAGCTGTTAGTGCCTGATTCTAGTCATTTTGAGGTTGAAATTGCCAGGTAGTGATCAAATTCTGGCAGAACTGATTCAAGCAAGAAGTGAAATATGGTCTTAAATCCATAAACTCTTTAATTCAGTTCGAAGGAAAGAACAATTGTGTGATCAGTGGAAGGAATCTGTTATTGTACCAGTTTGCAAGAAGGGCAGCAAAACTGACTGTAGTAATTATTGAGGGATATCAATTTTGGCAACTTCACAAAAAATTGTATCCAATATCCTTCTCTCCATAAGCAGGAAAAACTATTTGGGATCATCATTATGGGTTTGAACATATAATATCAAAGATTTATAAGATTTTTTGCATTCATCAGATACTGGAGAGCAAACGGGAGTACAATGAGAGTGTGCATCAGCTATTCATAGACTTGAAGAAGGCCTACGATTCAGTTGGGAGGGAAGTATTGTATAATATTCTCACTGAGTTTGGGGTACCCATGAAACTGTTTAGTCTGATTAAAATGTATTTAAATGAAACCTTCAGGAGGAAATTAAGAGGAGATTGTATTCAGGTAATGCTTGCTACCATTCAGTCCAGAACCTTTTGTCGTCTCATCTGTCTAAAAGCGTAAAAATTAGATTATACAAAACTATAATTTTACCTGTGGTTCTGTATATGTGTGAAACATGGTCCCTGACATTAAGGGAGGAAACTAGACTGAGGGTGTTTGAGAGCAGGATGCTGAGGTGGGCAGGTTATGTAGCATGAATGGGGGAGAAGAGGAAGAATGTAGGATATTGATTGAAAAGCCAGAAGGAAAGAGACCATTGGGAAGACCTAGGCATAAGTGGATGGGTTCTTGGAGAGATAGGATGGGGTGGTATGGACTGGATTGATCTGGCTCAGTGGAGGGCCCTTTTGAACATGGCAATGAACTTTCAGGTTCCATAAAACGTTGGAAAATTCTTGAGTAACTGCACACTGAAGAGCTTCTCAAGGACTCAGCTCCATGGAAATAGTTTAGTTAATAATGGTATGATATGACACATTTTTATTGTACATGCATTTTTAGTTTTAATTGTCCATTGAAATGAATATGTATATTGTGTTCTAGCATTTTTTGGTGTACACAGTTTTTGACTTACACTTAGATTTTCAGAATGAATTAACCGTTTCATGTAAGTTGGGTGCTGAACTGTAATGATAAGTAATTTTGAGGGTCATGTAAAGTGTTCTCTGAGGGGCTGTGCTGAACCAGCTGGAGGCTCTGAGAGACATTTCACCAGATGCTTCTAGCTTCCACAGAGACGTCATGAAAACACACTGGAAAATGTCCCTTAATATTCTGAATACATGCATCAATCCTCTGGACTGTGCTTTGAGTGAGATGCATAACAATTTCCATTGTGGTGACACTAATGGCACATTTCACTATTCATTTATTTTTATGTTTCTGGAGCCTTTTGGTACATGTGTTCTGTAAGAAAGTCTCACATGAAAAGACCATGGGATATTAATTCTGGGATTAGGATGACCACAGTCCATTCAGAATGATCCTGTCTTCAGAAAAATATCTTGACAGTAGGACATGTTGTGCCATCCTGCTAAGTCCAACATTCTCTTTCATGAAGCTGCAACATGCAGACAGGCATGACTGTTGCTGTGCTGTATGTGTTCTTACATATTTCCCATAATGAGCACTGATTCTGTTCTTACTGCTGCAACCCATTGTGTTCTAGGCAAATTGTTATCAAATGCTGGACGAAACGCAACCGAATGGAATGGATCACATACTTCAAAGAGGTCGCTAACAACCAGGGTGAGTGGCCCTGCCTCATAATTTAATAATAAAGTGTGGAAGAGGTTACTGTCTCTCTCTACACATAGATGGTGGGCACAATGTGACAGTGCCCATGAAATATAGCTGTGGTCACTATTACTTTTCTCCCAATCTCCTACATAAAAGCAGTACACAGATCTATATTTTATTGTTGTTTTATCTGGGTGTGCAACATGGGGGTCTCAGTCTGAAGTGTCCCGTGGATTAACGGTATGTGAGATCCGAGGTTCTCAGCATGGTGACCATGAAGATTACCGCCTTCTAAGATGTGATGTGTAATCTGGTAGATTATTACTGAAGTTTTGGAATAGCTTGCTGCCTTTATCTTCAGGAGAGAAGATTAAGCGTGGCATGGAAAGAATTTGTACAGATAAGAAGGGGAACAGAACTGGGGGCTCTGTGTGAGCCAATGGCAATAAGGAGAACAATGTGAAGAACACTGACCCTTAAAACAGTCGTTTTCCAAGGTTAAAGTGACTGGAAGAAATAATGGCTTAGAGTGAACCAGCAGAAGGTAGCGGGAAGCCAGGAGGAACAGAGTAAAGAAACAGTGGCCTTCTCGCCTTCACGTCTTCATTTTCCCTTGTGTTCCGTCCCAAAATCAACCCCTGGTGGGGGTTTTTTTTTTGTCTTTTCTCCCATTAACTTCACCCTTGAAGTAGGTCTTTAAAGGGCTTCTGTTTCCTCATCCTGTTTTGCTTGGTTTCATATAATGAATCTGGTTTCCACCGAATTCAAAGCTTGGGACTCATAGCAAATTGGGGCTACACTGTTGCAGCTCGGGACTTCATTCAGAACAACAGGTACAACTCGTTTGCTCCTGAACGGGTGTCAGTGGATGCTAGCTGGTTTGTCGATGGCAGTAGCTACATGTCTGCTGTTGCGGATGCTCTGGAAGATGCAAAGGAGGAGATCTTTATTGCTGATTGGTGGCTCAGCCCAGAAATTTATATGAAGCGACCATTTCAGGATTGTGATCACTGGCGTCTTGACAAGATTCTAGAGCGGAAGGCGGTGAGTTAAACCTTTAAAGCCCTGTGGTTACTAAATGCACCACCTGCTTTAACATACTGAAATTCTGCATTCTGCCCATAGAGTGTATTTCTATGTTCTGTATGGTTCTCACAGTAAACAGTGACTTTTTCCTCAGATAGCATTAACCAGTTAGGCTTTGTGGCAGAGATGTAATATGTTTCCTGTGAAAACTGTTAACTACCAAATCAGTATTTCTTACTCACACCATCATACCACCATCAATTAATGGGTAATTAAGATGTAGCTAGAAGGATAATATTAAAATGCAGCTTAGAGAAATAACTTGAGAACTGGACTGGACTTGTTTGCGGTGCAATCTGGTAGCAATCTTTGATATATACAGTATTGAATTTTCTGGTTCTGTTACTGAGAGATTCAAGCTGTCAGTCGGTTAGTAGATAGTTTCATGAAGTGGCCATGACACAAGTATTTATTTGCTAGATTCTCACCATGAAAGCCCAGGCTCATTGCTGGAGTGTCACATGTGAAATCCATGCCAGAAAGAGTGGCACTGAAGCATAATTTTCTCCAGACACTTCGATTTCTCGCGCCAGTTATCATTCTGCCAGTGTTCCACACTCGTATGTTTTCAGGGAGTGCTGCAGTAGGCCCATATGAAGCTGCATTGCCTTGGGACTCACTCCACTTGTACAAGCAGCTAAACAGTTGCATGCAGAGGGAGCTGTAGCATCAGTTCTTGTTGTGTTGCAGGCAGCTGGTGTGAAGGTGTTTGTGCTGCTGTACAAAGAGGTGGAGCTCGCACTTGGCATCAACAGCTACTACAGCAAGCAGCAGCTTGTCGCTGCCCATCATGACAACATCAAGGTGTGTCACTTAGGTTCTAAAGGGTTCTGACAGTGGTGTATAATGCTCAGAATTAGTGGGTTTTTGGATTTTGAAAACTAGAGAACACAACATTTTGGAAAGTGGATTTGTTTCCATCCTCAAATGAGGGAGGAGACACATACTCTGGACCAGTGATTGAGGTTATCCCTTTCTAAGGGACCCAACAGAATAGGTGTCTCCCCCACCCCACCCAAGGACAGAAACAGATCTCATTTCTGAAACGTGTTTTCTAGTTTTTAGAATACTGGATGATGGATAAAGTCCAAAAACCCAGTCATTCCGAGGGTGTGCTATGTTTATAATGCTTTGTTGTGAAGTGAGAGCAACCCCACTGGCATTCTCTGTAATTATATACAGCAGTAGAAACTCATTTCTCACATACTGTCTGTGTTCAGGGAACTAGACAAAATGTGAAGAAACAGCACTGTAACTACCTGAATCCTGATGAACAATGTGACATTTGGTATGGGCAGTCACAAGTACTGTCGAGGAAGAGAGTACAACAAGTGACCTGGGGTAAAAAGAATAATTGATAATGCTGATGAGAGAGACATCATTTTGAAGGAGAAAATCCATTGGTCCTGTCACAGTCAGGTATCCCATTAAACAGCTAACCCTTTCATATTGCCTTTTCATATAACTACATTAATATAGTCTTGCCTATTTATATTCATGTGGTGACTGTCTGCATCCCAGTACGGCGCTTCTTACATATTCTGATCTGTTGGTTGAAACTAAGATTTCCTGTGTCCCAGCTGTGTGGTGCAGTTAGATAAATAGACAACATTTGTTATGGGAGAATGAATGAAAGCATAAGGGGTGTGCTGTAATAATCTGGCCCTTGCACTGCAACCTTCAGTGATCTGTTGTGCTCTATTAAGGGGGAAAGGATTTTGCATGAAGTGGCCATGGCCTGATCAGTTACTGTTCCAGCATTTGCTTGGAATAATTGAGGAATCCTGTGAAGATCCTGTCTGGGTAACCAGTTTCCTAGCTGAGATTTGAACTGAGCACCTTCCTAATGAGTCAGATGCATTACTACTATGCCAGTCTGCTCAGTATGTTATTGGTGCAACTTTAGAAACATCTTCTCAGAGTATTTGAACTTTCTGGCTGTATACTTCATCTGTCATGAGCATGAAGAACTTCATGTCTGACCCCTCTGCTGCTTTGTATGCCATGTGTAGGACAATTCAGAAAATGCTGCACCCAGCATGAGTGTCCTGTGCATCACAGGAACAGTGAAAATGATTAGTTACTATAGGATTCTGACGATGGTGTATAACACACAGAGATACTGGGTTTTCGGACTTTATCCATCGTTCTGGTTTTTTAAGATAACTAAGAAAAACATGACATTTTGGAAACTGGATTTGTTTCCGTCCTCAGGTGAAGGAAAACACCTATTCTGTTGGGTCCCTTAGAAAGAGCTAGCCTCAATCACAGATCCAGTTTCCGAAACGTCATGTTTTTCTCAGTTATCTTAAAAAACCAGGATGATAGATAAAGTCCGAAAACTCAATCTCTATGAGTGAAAATGATGTCCTCACGTATTCTCAAATCATCTTCATAACAATAGTGCAAGGGATAATGTGCACTTTAACGCTTTCTCATGATATTCAGATTTAATGAAAATTATCAGAATAAGTCTCCATAGGGGGTTTGGCTGAACACTTAATTACTGAGCATTGATAGGGTTAAGTATCTCATCTGTGTGTGCCATCAGACTGAAATAATTTAACCTGACAGCCAGCTGAGACGTACTGTATACACAGATGTTGCCTATGTAGTAAAGTTAAACTAATTAAAAAGCTTGAAGTTGAATAGAGTTGAAAATACTTTCATCGTTGTTTTCATCAGAGAGAGTAGGTTTGTTTTTTGAAGTATGTAATGATGTTGGTATTACTGATGTGCAGGTACTGCGTCATCCTGACCATGCAAAGGTGGGCGTCTTCCTATGGGCACACCATGAAAAGATTGTGGTGGTCGACCAGACGTACGCATTCCTAGGTGGCTTAGACCTCTGCTATGGCCGATGGGATGACCATGAACATAGGTGTTGTGTCTGATGTTTAAATTTTTGATGTAGTCAGGCCTTGTGACTTGTCTGCCTTGGGAGTGAAGATTGCATGTCTGGGCAACAGAGTTACAGCATTCTTTGCTATGATGTGAGCCATACATTCACTGCATTTGCAGAGCTTAGCCCTTGTCACAGGTTAGGGATGGGACATGCACTCACAGACCTTGGTTCGTACTGTATTTACAGGCCTCTTGGTCTGCTCTTTGAGTCAGTGTTTTTGAATCCTAACTTTTCATTTATTTGAATTTTAACATAAGCTTTTCTTCTGGGTTCATTATGAACGTTATTAGTTTTAGGCTTTCACAGAAACTGTGTGTATTCCTGTTCTGAGAGCAGTGACTATGATGAACTTGATCTTGCAGGTTGTAACACCATATAGCTCATTACAGGTTCACTGACATTCCAGAGGGACATATGTGAAGTTCTTCTAAACTCTTACCAACTTGTTATTTTTCAAATTAACCTGAATTGAATTGGACACTTCAGTGCTAGAGATACTAATTGACCAATATCCATGAAGCTTTGTATGGACATTTTACCGTTGATAATCTCCCCATATAACACATTCCAATCAGGCATGCCAACATGTGAACTTAGGAGGTTTGAAGAACATAGGCCAGTTAGTTTTTGAAACTGTACAGTTTGGTTCATAGGGAATGTGTCAGCTACATATGGTGAGGTAGTGGAGTAACTGGTGAACCATAATTGGATGTTACCACATTTTTTAACACTGTATGCATGCAATATAGCTGGTTTTAAAACTAGCAAGGCTTAGAACCTTTAAAAAGGACTCTGGCAGTGATGTTTCCTTTAACCCTTTCAGAGTCATGACACAGTGATTTGTCTTGCAGTGTTTTAAACTTTCCACTTATCTCCTAGGCAATATATTCACAAAAGTAAAAACCAAAACGAACGCCCTCTGTTGACTATTGTTGTTGTTGTTATAAATTTGTGTGGGTATGAAACTTGGTCTCTCACCTGAAGGGAAGAATATAGACTGAGGGTGTTTGAGAACAGAGTACTCGGTGGAATGTGTAGACCTAAGTGAGGGGAAGTGAAAGGATGGAGGATGAAGAAAATTGCATAATCAGAAGCTACATAATTTATGATCATCATCAAATTTTATTAGGATGATCAAATCAGAAAATATGAGATGGGAAAGGAATGTAGCACATGTAGGAGAGACTTTGAATGTATACAAAATTCCGATTGCAAATTTTGAGAGGTTTTTACTTGAAAGAACTAGGATAGGTGTGGGAGAATAATATTAAAATTTATCTGAAAGAAATATTGTGGAAGGGTATGGACTGGAATAATCTGGCTCAGTATCAGGCTGTAGACCAAGGCCAGGCTTCCATGACTGGTAATGAACTTTTTGGTTTCTTAAAAGGCAGGAAATTTCATGATTGGCTGAGGAAGTTCTAGATTCTCAAGGAAGAATGTGCTGGGTGAAGTTGGAGTATGAAGCAGTCACTGGCAGAGCCAGTCACACTCTCAGTTCCTGTTGTGTGTCCACAGACTTGTAGATGTGGGCAGTGTGTCACAGACATTGAGCGTGTTCATGCCAGTTCGCAAGAAACACACGTCGAGCCACCCAGCCACGTCCAGTAAGCCACATAGTTTGATGCACCTTGCCATATCCTCCAACACTGTTGTGGGTGTACTCAATACGTCACAGACCTCACTGAACAGGTAATAAGATTACCATACTGTGTATCTTGGCAGTACCTCAGGTCCCAGTGCTGGTATAACATTGCCTCTGGTACCAGAATTTACCCTTTCCCAGCCTCTGTCAGAATTCTTCCAATATCATAATTTTCCCATTCAAGTCTTCTGCCGCTAAGAAATTTCCACTATTATGTGATCACATACTGGGTGTTATATCTTACCTTTTCACATCAATTTACAAGTATTCTAGTAGTCTGTATAAAGGAACAACAGATGACAGGAGTTCTGTATTATCCCATATCAAAGTGGCTAATTCTTTTTAATTTCTGCAATTTAATATGTTGTTACTAGGTAACAGTGAGTTTTGAAAATGTGCAAGTTGGGAAAATGTTACCTTTGCTACCAGTATTTAGGTTAGGTGGTGAGAGTTGGATCTTGAGCCACACTGATCATTCAGATTTTCCATCAGACAAAACAGAGTATAATTTTGCCATAACTGTTACAAGTAACTGGAGCAGGTGTGTCTGTTCAATGCTGTTTGGCTTGAAACTTGTGTTTGTTTCAGTAATGAAACTGAAGTCCACGAGCTGCAATCAGGTGAAACACAGCAGCCCCCAACCATTGAGGTGACAGTTGCAGAAAATATCAAGTGTAACACACCACCCACAGAGCGACGCAGTCTGATAGGAAAAGTGCTTGAGAAGACAGAAAGTGCCAAGCAGCGCAGCAAGCAGTGGGTCCATTGGCTTACGCCTGGTGCAGAGGAGGAGCAAGCTGCAGCCACAGCTGACGAGGGGGACAACAATAATACGAAGGAGCCAGCCATGGTGCTCTTAAGGTGACTGAAAAATGTTCAATTTCTCATGAAGAAACATCTGACAGTGTGTTCCATTATTTTTATGGAATGTCTGCAACATTTAGCTGGCCTGTATAGTGTCTTATTATGACAGTGCATGTGTGTTGTCCAATTGGACTGTGCATTACATTACATTACATTGCACTGCACTACAATACACTACACTACACTAATTAAATTATGTTCCCTGGGTCCAAAGTTAGTCAAAATGGCTGTATAATATATGTCATTCATTCATTCATCAGTAATCTGTCAGATGACAGGTCCACAGCCTCTTCCAAAACAGTTTCTCCACTTAATGCGATCTTCTGTTTTTGGAAAGAGACTATCCAGGAAAAGTGATAATGTGGTAGTTTTTCCATTTGCTTTCCACATCGCAGTACAACAGCCGTTCAAACCACTCTGGTCACGCCTGTTGCTATACGAACTTGAACCATCTCGAGCATCATTTTCTCTGTGCTTCAAGTCGCCGCTGATGACGCTGCTTCCGGCATCAGTTTTCGGTGTCTCTCTTCGTCTGATGCCTACCCTTTGACCTGTCCAGCAAGGGAGGCCCTGCCAGTAGCTACGCTACCGCTGGTATAGCTCTCAGGGTCCTTGGCATACTCAAACACCCTCACCACGATAAGGTGGAGACACCAACGAGGGGAATATATATCATATAAATACAAAAATGCAGCGGGCTTCTTGATTTTCTTGAAAATTGTAAACATATGGGACAATGTGTAAATGTGCTTCAGTTGTCTGCAAATGGTGTCCATGCCTTCCAAAAGGACCAACAAACTCTGTGCGCCATAGTGACTGCAGCGCTGCAGTGGCAATATTTGTAAACGGAACTTGTTTTGTGGATATGTCTCATACTAACACGTGATTGCCAGATGGCCACTACATTAATCTAGCCCCAGAGGATCTGTAGTGAAACACTGCACTTCACTTCCGCAGCTGCAGTTCATGGTTCCACTTACTGTGTATGGTAATTAGGGTGACGGTGCAAAACAGAGGTTCACTAAGGTTCATAGTTCTCGGCTGGGCTGGTCTTCTGGTGACGTATTAAGTAACTCTTGGAGGTCTATAGGGCATAGCCTCCCCTGTCATTCGCTCTCACATTTTTATCAATAATCCCACGTCTACCAACCCTGAGGTATTTATCATATAGACACTGCGAAGTCAACATTCTATACTGTCGTCATTGTAGTTCGTGGTTGCACTCTATGTCCACATATCCATCTCAGCAATATTGGACTTAGTGGGCATATTCTGATGACTACACTAACCTACATACCTAAGTTACTGCCTTTTTCTTTGTACAATTTCTTCTTGGTACTGCTAAGTTGAAGTCCATACTTCTGTAATTAAAAGATTGTATCATTGTGGATTTAAGGACATAACAGTCTACGTCATGTAGTTTTTGTCTTCAGCTGAGTGCCTACATATGGAGCTACCATTGATTGGGTCATCATTTGTTGCAGCGATGGGGCAGTGTCTAATGGGGGTGTAAGTGACGGTGGTGGCAGCACTGCTGACATGAGTGGCATAGTCAGATATTGGCTTTTCAAGGACTACACCAACTTCATTGTGAAGGACTTCACAGACTTGGACCGGCCATACCAAGGTAAGGGACGGTTGAGCAGTGCTGCAGAGTGAGACACGTTGGGAGTGGAATTTTACCAGCTTATTTTGTATGGTTCCTGACAGATTTGGTCGATCGTGACATAACACCACGAATGCCGTGGCATGATGTAGGGGCCATGGTCATGGGGACTGCAGCTCGTGATGTGGCACGCCACTTTATACAGCGCTGGAATGCTGTTAAGGTCTGTTGCAAGATCATCAGCATGTCCTATTGTGTGGGAAGTCACAAAATAGAATCTTGTCACATCATCTGCTTTTTATACATTAATTTATATACAGAGTGATTCACAACTTAGTGTCTTAACTTAAAGAGTTTATATGTGGGGTTATTCTGCATCAGAAGTTATGGATTTTTCATTTACATGAAGATTTCACTGCTGAATTTTTAGTGACTATTCAAAATGACCCCCCTCAGCCTCAGTATGTGTTATAGCTCATCTTGTGAATCAAGCATGTAGCTTGCATCACTTTATTAGGTGTGCTCTATATGGCAGTTGTAGCACCCAAATGTGGCAGAGAAATGCAGCTTGTCTTCCCAATTATTACTGGTCCACTAGATGTACTCGTATAATATGCATGTAGTTGGGATGATTGGCCATTGTTGTAGGCCACCATGACTGATCCATCATGCAGTGAAGGATCATCAAGATATATTTCTATTGCATGACCAAAAAGTTGGAAGCACTGTCATTGAAAATGCATATGCGGTCTTGATTCCAAAGGTACATCTAACATGTCTTACTGTTCATTCTGTAGAAATTACAGATAAGTGTCACTTTAATACTGCCCTTGAAGATAAATGAGCCAATCATGATTGTGAAGCATACGAAACTATACATTCAACTGAACCAGTGCTGAAAATTGTTTTTGACTGTAGAATGGGGATTCACTTCAGACCAAAAATGTGAGTTGTGAGTGTTATTGACCCCATCATAGGTGAATTCAGCTTTGTCACAGAACAAAACATGGCAGTTGTCGATGGGCATTGAACCAGTTAACAAAAGTTCCATGTACAAGGAATGTTCCTCAAATTCTAGGTGCTGAAACATGGTGCATAGTATGGATGCATGCCTCCTGTTCTACATTCTCCATACTCCTGTGTGTGGAACATGAAGGTGCCTCAGAATGGCAGACTCTGTTGTACATTGTAAATACGGGGGTCGTACTGAAAGTCATGAGCAACAATTTTTTATAAAGTAACATGCTATATTATTGACAAACCAAATACACCACCTCAATCTACAGACCTTTCTTTATTTTTCCACATAATCGCCACTTCTTTGTACACATTTCTGCTAGCGTTATGGGAGTTTGAAAATTCCCCTTCTGTAAAATTCTGTTCCAGCCATCCGAAGACACTGACTCACTGCTTTCTGAATTGCCTCCCTTGTCTCAAAACGTTGTCCACTCAGCTGATCCTTCAGAAATCCAAACAGATGGTAGTCGGAGGGTGCCAGATCAGGGCTATAGGATGGATGTGGAAGAACTTCCCACCCCGTCTTTGCAGTTGCTTCCAATGTGAGGTGAGTGGCGTGGGGGTGAATGTTGTCATGCAGGATGATGTTTCGTCCCGGACGTTTATCGCGCAATGCATGACGAAGCTTGTGCGGCGTCTGGACATAACGAGCAGCATTGATGGTTTGCCCAGGTTCCAGGAATTTGGCTAGAATAAACCCCTCTGCATCCCAGAAGACTCTGCCCATTACTTTTGCAGCTGATGGCACTGTCTTTGCCTTCTTTTTTGATGGAGAATGCAAATGGTGCCATTCCATACTCTGCTGTTTCATTTCAGGCTCAAAATGGTGAAACCAGCGTTCATCACTTGTCTCAGTACAGAGCAAAAAATCATCACCTTCGTGTTGATATCTCTGCAGCAGTTCTGAGGGGATGGCTTTTTGCTGACCTTTGTGGTCTTCAGTCAATAACCGCAGGACCAAACGAGCACAAACTTTCCTATAGCCCAAGCTGTCAATCATCTCCTGTACTGCACTGTGCCCTATTCCAAGTTTTCGGGCTATTGTGTCCACAGTCACCCACCTGTCATCTTGAATGATCTCATCCACTCTTTCCTTGTTGCGTTCAGTTGAGGCTGTTGGAGGACGACCGCTCCGAGACTCATCTTCAGTGCTGGTGTTCCCATCTTTAAAATGTTTCACCCATCTTCGAACACTGCTTACACCCATGCACGCACTTCCATAAGCATACTGAAGTCTCTGGTGAATTTCTGCAGCAGGGATTTCCTCTTTCACAAGAAATTCGATGACAGCACACTGGTGAAATGACATATCGTTGTCGGCCATTTTGTTAGGAGTGATACTGGTCACATGACATCACAAGACACTCATGGTTAACACAACAGCTGGTTCTACCTACCACCATACTCTCTTTCGTCTGCTGTTCCCAGGTTACATGCAAAAAGAAGTTGCTCATGACTTTCGGTACGACCTATGTAATATATTTATCTGCCATATCTCGTATCAGATGCTCTGCTTGAATCTTGAAGTCTCTGAAAGATGTTGCTAAATGTTCTTCGATTTGGAAATCATCACTGGTATTCAGCAATAGAATCATATGAATTCTTGTCATAAATCCCATAAACATATGCCATATCTGCATATATGGCATTTGAAAATGTAGAAGGCATAATTGCATGCAAAACATGAACAGCATGCTATGAGACACAACACTCCGTGATTAGTATCTGCTCGTTTGATTCAGTGCGGTGCATGCCCATGCTGACACACATTGCTGCCACCATGAAATTACTGTCACTTACAGACAATCGTTCTGAACATCCATTATGCCCTAAATGCTGAGAACTGGACGCTTGTTTGTATGAAGTTTCTGACAGAGACTGACCTCAGGTATAAGCCGCTGAAGTTAAGACATTAAGGGTGACACACCCTACATGTACGAGGTATTTTAAAAAGGTGTGGTCTTAACTTACATAAGCTATGGGGAGGTTGTGTGAAGTAGAAAATATAAAAGAATATTTTCCTGATTTATATTACTGAGTTACATGTCACAATTGTCTTTTGATAACTCATTCAGCCGCTGACAAACACTGTGATGCTATGTAGTTTCCTATGCTTCAACATATGCTGCTCCACTTCATGATGCTCACGTAATAGACTGACTGAATGATACATTTCTCCAACAGTGAATAGGACAGTGAGGGCCAGTTGTATGGCCACCTTGTTTCTGTGACCTCATTATCCTAAGGGCCTTTTCTGTGGTTGTATGAAGGAACATGGTGGATGTGACAAGTTTGAAATGGTGATCCTAGTAAATCGGTGAAGCTGCTGAGATGAGCCATGGTCCTGAGGTGAGATGCTGCTGGACTCCCTCAAACCTGTATGACAGTCCAAGGCAGTCATTCTGAAGAAATGTAAGTGGTCTGAGGAGTTACCAGAACACATTAACATTTGATTTAACCTAATTATTGCATATTTTACTAACATTTGGCTAAACTGATATAGAAGTTGCGGTTAGTAGATCTGTGTGTTGTGTTCTCACAGCAGTAACTGTGAAGAGTACAGCCTTCTGGGTTTGCAGTGCCATGTAGTTTGGTAGATGTGTTCCATCATTTGAGAGGAACATGTTTACTTCCTCTTCAGGATTGAAGAGTAAGCCAAGCAAGAAACCAGCAAGAAGCAGATGGCACACAGTGTTCTGCCATGTTCTGCTTTCCAGCTGGTTCTTGCTGGTTTCTTGCTTGGCTAACTCTTCAGCTCTGAAGATGGTAGTTATGCATTCCTCCAAAATGTCTATGGACTCTTACCAGTCTACCTGGTGTTTGCATGCTGTAATCAAGGACCTTCATCATCAGCATACTTTCAATTATGAGGCATTATAAATTGATAATGGTTATAAAGCCTAAATGTGTATATTTACATTTTCTACTCCACATGACCCCCTCATACCTCTAGACCACACCTTTTGAAACAATGTGTGTGTGTGTGTGTGAAACAATTGGTCCCTAATTGTCAGGGACCATTTGACAGTATAAGTGCTTGACAGCTGTACTGTGTTTGGGGGGAGGGGGGGCATAATTTGAGATTTAAGATTATTTTATAATAAGGACCATAATGATCCTTACAGTTTGCATGTGTTGTCAGGCATCTAAAGTCGAGGAGGATATGATGACCTAAACATTCATCCTAAATGGATGAATTCTGGAAGGCTTACTCAATTTTAGTAGGCAGATCTGTTCAAAGATACCTATTTGGAGACTGAGATATTGTGCAAAGATAGTATTAAGAGGGGTGTAAGAGAAATATGTTGTGAGGATGTTGCCTGGGTTTAACTGGCTCCAATCAAGTTGTTGAGATCCTAATTTTATCAGTTGGTCAGTCTGTAAGCATTTCACTCAGTCATTGATGAGACACAGAATATAATTTGGCTGCAGATGTTAGTGCATTTTGTGTGTTTTGGTTGGCATTCTTGCTTCACACTTTTTACTTGTTTCAGTTGGAGAAAGCAAAGCTCAACCATTCGTACCCATACCTCTTGCCAAAGTCTTATGACAGTATCAGCCCATGCCCACCAATTGCTGGTATACATTTACATCGCATCAACTGCCAGGTAAATTGTGCATAAGAGTTCCTCATAACTGTACATGAAGACACTTATGGGATTGTAACCAGTTATTGTTGGACAGCATCTCTGAGATTTGGTCAGCCACACTGACTAAACAGCAGTACCATGTATTGGAGATATTTTTTTAGTTCTAGCTTAGATTATGCTAGTATTTTGTCTTTCTGTCTGCAGATGGAAGCCTTGTGCTCTTCTCTTCTTCCTTCACCATGCAATGCATTTTACATATCAGTACACACCAGAGATGATAACACTGCAATAGCAGAGAGTTGCTGCTGTTTGATTGCAGTGGCAAGAGCAGATCAGATGAAATTTAAACAAATCCTGAAGTGGCTCTTAGCCCACTTTTACTCCTTTCTTCCCTCTATCACTCATTTTTCCATATTGCTTATCTTCTACTCTATATCAAATATTATTATCAGTCAAAAATTCCAAATATAAAGGGAGTGCAAAATTTTGAAGATATATCCAACAAATTTAACATGGACAATTCCTATACTTATGCAATAAATTCTTCGCAAAAGTAAAACAGTGACAACAATATAACCTGCGTACAATTGCAAACAGTGACAGGAGATTCGACAAGTAGGATTCAATTGTATGACCATCTGCATATAATTTCAGCAAGCTATTTCATTAGCTAAATTGCATTTTATTATTAAATAAACTCAAAACAAGACTTACAGCACAAGCAGCCTGTGGAATAGGCAAGTTGGATTTGTTAGTTGTTCTTGGAACTCCTAGCTTTGTTTCTTTTAAGGCTGGAAAGACAGTAACCTTCTTTCTGCCTCATGAAATATTGTTCAGCAGATATTAATCTTTGTTCATGTAACAACTTTATGATCTGCACTTCACTGTTGTTAGATAGTTAGTTAGTTATTGGAGCGGGTGGGTTTCCCCATGCACTGAGACCAGTATTGGTCCATTGTGCTTCCCTCTATGATATTCTACCAGTCTCTATACCCTACCAATATTGGTGCGTACCATCAGTCCCGACCGAGCCAGCGAGTTCGGCCTCTACTGGCTTGGCGGTATCTGTAATGCTTCCCCCATCCATCAGAGGCGTTAGAGACTACTGTTGGGCGGGAAATGTCCTTGAATTTAGCTCAGTGACCTCCTTTGGAGATATGAGGTTCTTTTACGTGCCGTAAAGCTACGACACGGGACCCATGGCTTAAAGTCCCTCCTGGAGGACTTGTTCCCTTCCGCCCTTAAAAATTCCATGACCTCCGCCGGGTTTGAACACGCGTACCACGAGTCATGAGGTTGGAACGTTACCTCTAGACTACGGAGGCCGCTTTCACTGTTGTATGATAATGCTGGTGTATCAAGTGTATCAAGCTTTACAAAGTTATATCAAGGTTGTTTGAGAATTTGATTTATGAGTGCGACTTGTTTACACACAAATCAGTTCCGGTCATATTTGAACCACCTTGTAGTAGCGGCAGAAGCACGTGAACAGAGTCAGAGGAATACAGGAGGTCGGCCTGTAAGAATGTAAAGTGCGATTGGAAGGTGTAATATTTGTAATGATTTGAAGTGATAGTTTCTGTTTTCACATCTGTTGCTAGGAGATCACCAGTGAAGACAGAGAATCCTAGTGTGTATGCAGTGGTGAACTGAAAGTGTGTATGTCAGTGATAGCACTGTATTGCATGCATTTAAGCGTGATTAAGAGGGAATGTGTAACCAAGATGCTAATAAATCCAATCATCCGAACTAGAACCCATCATTCCATCATGCATACCACCATACACATGACAGTACATAAGAATTACACAAAACTACTAAAACTGTCAGCATGACATAATTTTGGAAAAAGTTGTTATTCCAATCTGTGTTCCAACTTAGGTTTGTTTTGCAAATTTCAGTACTTAAGATATTAAGAAGGATTTTTGTTAATGTATAGAAATGTATTGTTACGTGTATTGTTTCTTGGGGATCCTAGTTACCACATCGCCACTGTTTTGTCCGTAACGCCTGTGTCCTGCACAGCATGTTATCTTTATTCCGTTGGCGGCCACTTCTTTCTGCTGGCATCCGAAGGTTCCCTGTGGAGTTTCCTTCTTGAAGGCATTTCTCCAATGTCATGCCACTGTCGCACGACGGGATGTCTTCCTGCAGTTTTTCTTCTGCCATGCCACTTCCACGCGGCAGCTAGTTCCTCTTTGGGCGACGGCCAATTCTTTGTGTGGCCCATGATTTTCCCTTGCCGAGTCCTTCGCTTTCTGGCTGTGGCGCTCCGCGGCCAGTTTTCGGTCCAACACACAGCACATAGGAAACATCTAACCGTAAGCCATACAACTTCAAGCTGACATCTCCCATCTTCGGGATGAATTAACAAGGAGGAGCTTAACATTTTACATCAAATGTTTTAAAAAAATTTTTTAAATATTTTAACATTGGCGTTTTTACTTGAGGGCAGTTTCGGATGAAATGTGAGAATTGATAGTGCATTCAACAATCCTAGCAAGTGTTGTGCTTTTACACGTCGACATATTGTAGCAGCGTCCACGCAGCAAACATAACTGTGTACATCTTAAACAACGACAGTGTTTTCATGTTTGTACTATGTGCCTCTGATGATGGTTGTGTTAAACCGAAACATGTAAGGCAGAAGTGATAAAGAAGTGACCTGCAAGTTGTTACACTTGACGGACTTTCTATCGACTTTGTGATTGATAGTGTAACGGACCAAAAATGAAACAATTCAAAATAACAGACTGACTTCTTTGGTGACTAATCCGATACTCTCTTCTTCGGCGGTTGGATCCAGACTAACTGTGCGAATGCATTAAACCCCATTTTATAACCTCGGACGCTGCTATGCAAATGAACCCTCTGTTATAACCATGGAGACTCATTTTAGAACTACAATAGAGCGATTGTTGTTTCCTATGCAACGGTCTATTCTAGCGTTTCCATAGAAGTGACTCTTCTGGATTCCAGACACGTTACATTATGAAACCAATTATTAAAGCAATGAAATTGTATCCTACTATGTATATATCACTAAGGTTTAAATAAATCTTGTATGATATGTTGCATGAATCATCATACCAAGCAGAGAAAACCCTTATCATATGTTGCTTCTTGCAAGAAAGAGAATAGAAATCAAAAACCTTTAATTTTTTTTTAGTTATCTCCATCAAGGTTCCATATTTATTTTTATTCAAAGTGGTATGCACATTTTGTCAAGGAAATTGAGATTTCATTATGATATTTTTAAGGTAAAGGTAAAGCTGTCCCTGTAACAGGCCGTGGAGGCCCATAGGGTTGTGATGGCCCTGGTCCCAGCATTCCTGTTGCCTGCACCTCTTATCTGGTCTTCAGCTGTTGTCAGCTGCATACCAGACTCCCATCTTGTGGCTTCCAGGTCACACCCAGTCACCTTGTAGAGTCCTGTTGCTTCTGCATTTCATCATCTGTTTTCTACGTCTTGTCCTGTCACTTGTAGCTCACTGCTGACTTCACAAAGACTTTAATTCTGCTGCAGAACTATCGCCATGACACCCTTCAACTGTCTGCTTAGTATGTCTGTTACTTTATGCTCGAATTCAGGTTTTATGTCACTGTTTTGCTTTCATTTCTTCTTTGCAGCCCACCAGCTGATCTTGGGTGGCACTTGCACCCTTTTCGAGTTCTTGTTGCATTTTGTCCTGACCTTGTGGCTGGCACTCAACTTGATTGGCTACTCAGAAATTACCTGTAAAGAGAGATCCACCTTCAGTCCAACATCTGACTCCTATTATAATATGTGTCTTTTTTGGAGCATTTTTTTCAGTTTGCCATTCATGGTCATGACACACTTGGTTTTAGTTCATGGCTAAATGACTGAACACTACTGTACTGTCTTCTTGCACCCATCTTATCACTGCTGGTTCAGGACTCGCCCACAACAGTAGTCACACCTCATGTGAATGCTGCCTGCAGCTTTTACATGCAGACTGAACTGAACTGAACTGAACAGCTAATTCCACACCTTTTTATTCCTGTGTGGTATGTTCTTGATTCTTCTTGTAGGATCCCAGTTAACCTCAGTCTCCTCAGCCTGCAGAATGTTCCAGAAAGGGACAGGATGCCGTGATTTTGCTCGAAAGAGCTGCTTCTATCTTCCCCATTCTTCACAAAAGTATTATTCTCCCATTATGATATGAATCACTGCATACAACTCGCAGTTGGTCCTTGGTTATTGGTTGTGCGTCAGTTCTTAAGATGCCTTTCCATGACTGGTTGATGGTGGTAATACAGCAATAGAATTGTGAAACTATTTGGCAGCTGAATTTCCAGAAAATATATCATGTGATCCACAGCTAGTACTTGGATGCAGTTGTTGATCAAGTGTTAATCAGGATTATTTGATACATTAGGATGTATGGAAGAAATATTGATTTAAATAAATACATTTTCATTACAATTAATAAACATAAATATGAAAAGTTGAATAACTGTCAAGTATTATTACATGCCATGGAACTGAAAGAAGTAAATGTGATTGAAAACATTAAGCATTATAGATCTATCAAGTCTTATTTTATAATTTTTTGCAATCCAAGCGGATGAACTTCTTTGGTCAGGTACTTTTTGACGGTACCATCATTTGCATCAGTGATTTTCAGCGCTGGATCTAAATCTCACCATGACAATCATCTTCAAAGAAACCACTACATTCTTTCTGGATATATTCATTTAGCACTTCTGCTTCTGAGAGCTTACTCTTGTTGCAGCTGGACAGCCACCCTTTTCCTTATATTCTGCTTGTTCTTTTCCTTCTTTTCAGTTTCTCATAAGAACTCATCTGACATGGTACATCTAATTGTAGTAACATGCCAAGACCTTGTTTCTTCATCACTTGTTATCATAGTATGGGTCACTTGTACAACTGGCAAACTATTATCCTATGCTGCCAAAGATTCGTCACACCCAGCTGGCGAGCTAGAACATCCAAACTAAGGATCACTAGAATTTGAATGGAATTCTGGAATAATTTTTGTTGTTGTAAGAAGCTTCTGCATCTCACCATGTCATTTCAGATAATTTTTCTAAAATACATATACCACTAAGCTTTATTTCTATAATTACCTCATTGGACTTTTTATAAAAATCATCTTTTACCTCTTCCATATTTCACAGTGGCCCAAGCAATTAACAGATTTTCATATTGACTGAGCAACAAGTTGTCATGCATCACAAAGCTTTTGAACCATCTATGTTCTGTTCTTAGATTCAGTCTCACCAGCAAGTTGTAAAGTTTATTTCCAACTAATTCCATTATCCAGCTTTCTATAATTCTATGGCTGCTTTGCACAATTGGTTTTCTAATTTCTATTCCCATTGCAGGTTTCAACCCTGGTCATTTTCAGTCCATGTCTGCAGAACCATTCACTTGCATCCTGGTGGTATTGAAGGCCACTGAATAGTCTTTTGGGTTTGACCTTCTTTCCCCGCACTTACAGCCTTTTCCAGATCTTAATTGTTATATTTATTATCCATCTACGAAAATAAGAAGAAATATGTGCAGAATGTTCATCAAGATGCAGCTTTTCTGCCGTATGATTGAAGTAATATGTATGCCATAAAAGTGATTTTCTAGTGTTAAAACTCTTACACATTGTATAGAACACTGTGATGTCTCTGTGTTTCAGTGTTTCAATCTCACATGTATTTCAAGCTGTGTGCCCCTAACAAATATTTTATATAGGATATGAGCTTCTCACAGCAGTTGTTATGAAGAGTTCTGTCTTTTGGGATATAATGCTGTGTAGTCCATTGAAAGTCAACTAACTTTTCAGAGCAACCTTCTTCACAGTCAGAGAATAAGCCAAGCAAAACCCGAACAAGAAGCACGTAGCAAACAGAGCATAGTTTAGTTAGTTTTTCATACAATTTTTATGTACGAACTTCACCCAGTGGTTGTCATGTGACTGAAACATGTGGTCATATTAATCATACTATTAGAGAAATATAGTTAGTGTGATGGTATACAGTGATCATATATGGATTTCATGCAAACAGAATACAGCATTTTAAAAATCCTGAACTTTGATTATGGCTGCTTCCTTCCACATACTTTTGAATTCATTGTTCCCTTATCATCCAGTAATTCAATGCTCTATGGTCTGAACCATACATACAGCACAGTATACCTCATAACATGCAAGATTCCTTTTGTGTTATTAATCAGTCCTTGTTTGCTGCAGATTGTGCGTAGTGTTTCAAGCTGGAGCACTGGGTTCCTAGACACAGAGACGGTAGAAGAAAGTATCCACGAGGCTTACATTGATGCAATCACAAGAGCAAAACACTATGTGTACATAGAAAACCAGTTCTTCATCAGCCTTGCCAGACGCAATACATCTGTGCGCAACCTTGTCTGTGAGACTCTCTTCAAGCGCATCATGCGTGCACACAGGTGAGTTGCACCTGAAACGGGCTTTTACTTGATCTGCAGCTCCATTACAAAAACAAACTGGTTCACCTTTATCATCTGGGTAGAAGAATTTTGAATGTCCATGTACTACAGGAGTGATGGCCATGTTGTAAATCAAGGGTAACATTTTATTACTAGGGAAGGGGGTGTTTTAAGTCTGCATCTCCTTCTATGTATATGGTAATTATATTTTAACTCAGAGGTAATGGTATTAGTGTTGAGCAGATGCAGCATTCAGCCAGCTGCACTACACAGTCCAGCTATCCTAATAATCTGTGCATCGCCAGTAAATGATTATGCTGTTTAGGGAAATAATTCCTGTTTATTATGAGAATCATATCAGACATATAAATGTACTGTGTGGGGAAAATGCAGGACTTCTGAATATTAAAGTAGGTGATACTGTCGTCTGAGTGTCAAGGGTACAGGGCAGTAAAGTGGTCCAGTAATAAGAAACAGGGACCACAAATGTGGGACATAAAAGTGAATAACATAGTGTAAACATTTTAACGCATGCTACATAACCGGCCCAATACCTGCTAATTAGTTTTCTTTGGTTGTTTGTTTTCAACTTGCAGAGAGGGCTCAGTGTTCCGTGTGTATGTGGTGATGCCACTGTTGCCGGGCTTCGAGGGAGAAGTAGGCAGCCCATCAGGCACTGCCCTGCATGCTGTCACACACTGGAACTATGCCTCAATCTGCAGGTACATACAAAGAGAACACTGCTTTCCTGAAAATGGATGGATATTTGGCCTAGTCTACGAAACTTCCCAGTGTCATCTCAAAATACTGTAGTCTTGAGATTCTTGAAGGTCTGTCCTTAATTGTATTGTAAGAATCTGGATATAGCAGTGAATGCCTGTGGCTCCACTGTTATGTTGGGTGGCTAATAACCAGAGAAATGTGCTAATTATTGAAGGCATTGTAACACTGTCTGTAGGCAAGAATAATTCTCAATATTCTTATAGTCTTCAGAATCACAAAGGCACTACTGTTATTGCTTATGAAGGACCCTCTGTCAGAAGGACCAAGGAACTGATAAAAGAGAAACCAGTTATGGTGGTGACAGGACTATTTGCAGGAAAGTGTCACCTGAAGGGACACCTTCAAAATGGGGTTGACACATAGTCCCATTTGTGAAAGATACCTAGAAAAAAATTAATGAGCCTCACACATCTTATGTGACTGTGAGGCTATAGCTTACTTACCATTTTGCCACCTGGGCCATTACTTTATGGAGCCAGCTGAATATGAAGACACCATTTTAAGTAAGATACTGCACTTCATTCAAAGTGTACAAGTAGGATTGTTGAAGGGTAGAAATAAAGGGGGATGCACAATAGATCACTGATGGTTGTACAAGGGCCAGTCTAGGCCTACCCCTTAAGTGCATTCATTCATTCATTCATATTACTTGTCATTGAAAATGAACTTCAGAGATAACAGATCTATTGTACAGAAGCTGACATGGTTAGAACATGTTAGAACATTAGAACATTAATGATGTCATTAATACAGGTACTACATCTGTTTCATACATGCACCATTAACTTCATATTGTCACATGATAAGAGGAGATGTGTGATTTTTGGATTGGCAATTAGATTTACTGAACTCTTAAACAACTCATAACTACAAATAACTACAATAATCTCACTGAGTTACACACTCCAAAGATCACTATAACTACAGCACACATAAAGTCTTCTCAGTCTGCACTAGCTATTGCTTGGTAGTGGCTTCGAATGGTGGACGTTGCCCTTTCTCTGGGTTCCAGAACTCTCCCTGGCCTCAGTTATCAGCTTCTCACTTCTCACAACTGAAACTCCCAATTGACTCACTAAACCACTAGTTCTCATTATATGGCCCCAGCACAGACTGCACAGAAAATGTCTGTTCCATTATTCTTTGTTCTCTCGTTGCCAGGGAAAGAGCGTGTCCACAGAGCTGTTCCTTAGCAAGTGGCCGTTGTACTGTCTCCTGTTTACAAACTGTTATTTGGCAATGGCTGTACATGTCACAGTATCTTTGTTACTTGCAATTACATATGGAAGTATGCAGTACTTTTCGACTCAGTATGCACTGTATGCATACTGGTGAGCAGTTGACNTGTACTGTCTCCTGTTTACACAACTGTTATTTGGCAATGGCTGTACGTGTCACAGTCTCTTTGTTACTTGCAATTACATATGGAAGTATGCAGTACTTTTCCATTCAGTATGCACTGTATGCATACTGGTGAGCAGTTGATGTGTACTTGCAAACAGGTCAGAAGTAAAACAGTGGCTCAGCCATGCTGTTGCATTTTATGTTTTGACTTTGAGGCTGAGAGTATCAGCAAACACATGTTTATAAAGAAGGAATTAGCAGCGGGTACAGCAATATCTGAGGCACTATTATACAACTTCATAATTAGAATACATGAGGACTGACCCTTTGCAAAGTTGATGTTAAGTGTTTTTAACTCTGTAGAGCCTGAAGTTATCTAAATAATGTTTAAAAATTGAGTTTATATTTCATAGAAAACACAATGCATCTCCATCACAAAGCAAACTGGTTAATGCTGTTTGGGGAAATAATCTCTGTTTGTTGTGAGAATCATACCACTTCATTAGCAAAAGGCTGACCTTTAATGTCAGTGTGGATGGTGTGTATAATGATTGTTTTTCAAAGTGTTAACGTGCATAATGTTGTACAGGGGCAGTGAAGCAATACTCACCATGCTCAAAGCTGCTGGGGTGGAGGACCCCAGTGAGTACATCTCCTTCCATGGGCTGCGCACACACTCAGTCCTCCATGGTGAGCTGGTGAGTTCTTGCTATCTTTCACAGCATTAAACCAACTTAAGAGTTGAAGATAACTTTTAGACAACCTACCTGTTCGCATTTCATATTGTGGAGCAGTTGTGCCCTCCTCCTCCTTCAGGGCACACAGTAAAGTAGTTAGTTCAGGCACTGTGCTACGAGCTGGAAGACTCGATTTGGATTTTTCAATTGATCTAACCCTTTCAGCCACACTAAGGCCCTGGGTTCGACTCTGCCTCTGACAGAAATGAGTACCAGTAAACTTCTGGGGGTAAAGGGCGGCTCGTTCCTAAGGCTGGGAAGCTCACCTCCATCTGTGAGCTGACTGTTTAGAAAATGTGGGAACCTAGATGTCTCACAACACTATGGACCTCTGCAGTCTGTTACAGGGATAGCTTTACTGGTTTACTTCCTCCTTCTGCATCTTCTTCTAGCCTTGTTTCAGTTTTATATAGGTTGATGGAGGAAAAGTCTCCAGTCTCTTCCTTCCTCCCACAATTTTTCCTTTTTATATTTTGATAGAGTTCATTTTCCAGTTATACTCTCTGTTTTAGAGCAATATATAAATTGCCATCTAAGGGTATCTAGTTTATTTCCTTGTGTTTATTACATGTTATTAAAACTCCAGCATGTTTCAGTCACACAAGACCATCTTCAGGGATTGTACCGCATTGGTGGGAAATTCTTTGATTTGTGTATATGAGCCATAGTTATTTAATTGAACTGATTACAGCATGTGATGCTATGTATGTCGTATGTTATTGTTTCATGTTCTTTTTATAGGTGTCTGTATGTAACCAAATGATATCAGGTTCTGAGTAGTGGGGTTTTCTGGTACTTTGCAGTCACCTGTATAAGCATATCTCGTATTAACAAAATGTTATGTCACATATGTAAATATTTAGCTAAGAGGTGGAGTTCTGCTGTTTCAATGTGTTTTTTTGGTATGTGAAGTGCTGAACTGTTTGCATATTTGTGATGACCCATATGTGTATTTGCTGATCACAGTGGCCGTGCAGTCTGAGGCATGAAATGTCTTTACCCGCTCAAATGCTGGGATTGCGGGTTCAAATCCCACTCAAAGCATGGATGTCNCCAACAAATGGGTGTGTACCTAAATAAATAAATAAATAAATAAATAGGATTACCAACACGTGTTTTGGCCGTATGAGAATCATGAAGCTTTCACAGTGTCTACTATGCACCCCGATTTGTAAGCAGGACTTTGTGATGTGACTGGTGCCAGACCCCAAAACTCATGGGGTTATTACACAAAAATCTCTCCCCTGCCATGGTGGGGGCCATTTTCTTTCAGCACAGGAACTAGATATCACCTTTTACCCCCAGGAAGATTCTTGGTACTTGTTTCTGTTCGAGGCTGAGTCAACTCCAGGGCCTTAATGTGGTCGGAAGTATTAGGTCAATTGAAAAATCCAGCAACCTCATCAAGAATCACACCCATGACCCATGAACTTGCACTTCTGATATAAAGATGTACTTTCCCAATGATCATATCTTTATTGACACAACATAGGATTCTTGTATATGTATGCCCAATCTTTTCACTCCTTGTGGACTGCAGAATTTATGTCAGGAGGCTAAACATTGCGGTAGTTAAAGGGCAGTATCATGTTCAAACCTCAAACATGTTTGCAACTTTGGGAAACTTGAATGATGTAGACATTCATTGGGCTTGGGAAAGTATTAGAGAGAATATCAGAATTTCAGCCAAACAGAGTCTGAGTTGTTATTAGCTAAAGCAGCATAAACCAACATTTATTGCCCTGAAGCTGGAGTTAGTATGTTCCTCTGAAATGCTCTTAGCCACCTCTCAGACTGCACAGTGTTGTAACACATGACAACCAATCAATATCTTCACTGCTCTGGAAATTTGAAATCTCATACGAGTTGTAACAAGTTTATAAAACATCAATCTACCAAATTCCATATCAGTTATTATCAGTGGCATGTAGTATATTGTCATGTAACAGAATGACTGTAGATGGGGTTTGGATTGGTAATCGGATTTCTTGAACACTTACAGATCATAACTTCAAGTAACTATAGTACTCTCGCTAATTCACACACTCGGCAGTTCATTATGGCATGTACTAAGTCTTTTCAGTTTGCTATGTTTTCACCCGTCATTGCCTGGTGACAGATCCCAACAGTGTCCTCTGCTTCCATGCCTACATTGTTACCAGTTTGTGACTGTCCCACAACTGTCAACTCTCAACTCATCTCCACTTCACTAACAGCCGTCTGAAGACTCTCGTAATTGCAGCTGTTCCTCGTTATATAGCCTCAGCACGGACTGCATAGAAAACACATCTCCCAACAGTTCTTATATTGTTTCATCACGTAGTTATTGCACAGACCACATAGAGGTCACAATTCCTTTGTTACTGTTTACAGCTATTACCCAACAGTGGCTGTTGTTTACAGAGTCATTAGCAATGGGGCTGCATGATACAGTATCTTGGTTCCAATTGACACCTTACAGAATTTACTCTCCCGTAATCTGACAGTTTCATTCAACAAATACTTTTATGCTCACCACCATCATTTGTTAACTTATCTATAGCAAGTGTCTTTGTCAAACTATGATTATCACTATCAAGTGAAATGTAAAGTAGCCCCCATCTTATTTCACATTGTATACAAACCGTTTTATGGTCCATCAACATGTAACATTCATTATAGCTGCCTTTCTTTTGTATTTTTGATGGTTTTATAAAAATTGGCCATCTGGTTGAAAGGATCATATACATTCACGCACTGGTGATACGCACGTTCACTGTATGCCCTGCCAATGTTGTCTGTGCACAGTGTGTGTCCTGCCAGTGTTGCATTTGCATGCTATGTGTTGCACTGACAGTGACCATGTATAAAGTTTATGTATGTTGTTTCCTGCAGGTCACAGAGCTGATTTATGTGCACTCAAAGCTGCTCATTGCTGATGACAACCTGGTGATCTGTGGCTCAGCGAACATCAATGATCGCAGCATGCTGGGAAAGAGGGACTCTGAAATAGCTGTTGTCATTGAGGTCTGTGTGTCAGACAGGAATTTCTTTGTATGAGATCAAATGAACAGGGTTGTGTTGCGCACATCGAACTGGTTCACTGCTGTCCACATATACTGCCTGTCATTCATTAAATGGTTGGGCACTGATGGTACAGACTGTTGGTATCTCACATCAGTGTTTACTGCTATTGTTTCTCACCTCAATTGTGCTACTGCCATTAGTGGCAATTTCCCACTTGTAAGGACACGTTAACTGCCAAGAACTCACTTGTGTTAGATGCTGATTTATTAGTTGCATACACATAAACATCCATGTTAGATGGGTCCCTTGTCACCACGGCATGGTATGTCCTCAAGTTGCAGATGGAGGAGTCACCCTCCAGGTATGGAGGGAACCTGCGAATATATTGAATAAGTAGTCGCGGACAGCCGAGAAGGGGTGGTGCTCCAGCTTGGGGTTTGGTCGTGGGGCTAACAACTCCTCACCATAAAAATAAGCTTGTTATGAAAATGTACACAAAGCCTTGGACCTGGACGGATCCTCTGGATAACTTGTATTCTTTTCCAAGCATAATTAGAATGATCAACTCAAGGAGGATGATGTGGACAGGGCATGTAGCACGAATGGGGGAGTCAAGGAATGCATATAGGATATTGGTGGGAAAGCCAGATGCAAAGAGACCACTGGGAAGACCAAGGCATAGTTGGGTGGACAATATTAAAATGGATCTTAGAGAGATAGGATGGGTGGCCCAGGATAGGGACCAGTGGAGGGCTCTTGTGAACATGGTAATGAACTTTTGGGTTCCATAAAATGCTGGGAAATTCTTGAGTAGCTGCAGAATTGGCAGCTCCTCCAGAAGGGTTCAGCTCCATGAGTAAATAAGTACATAATACACGTACACGTATGTTAAGGGTAGAACATAGACTAAGGGTGTTCAAGAACAGGGAACTGAGAGGGTGGTAATAACATGAGGCTGGAGGAAACTTCGCAGTTATGAACTTTGTAATTTGCCCACTTCATCAGTTAGTTATTATTGGGGTGACTGAATCAAGGTGGGTGAGATGGATGGGACTTGTAGCATGCATGAGAGACATGAAAAATATGTACAAAATTTTGAGCTAAAAGTCTGAAAGAAATAGCCCGCTTGAAAGAGCTCAGCCTAGACAAGGGAATGGTACTAAGATGATCTTAAAGGTATAGTATGTATGGATGTGGGCTGGATTCATTTTCCTTGATATGGACCAGTGACAAGCAGAACTCTGCTTCGTGCAGTTAGTCAATTGCCAATAACATGGGCTCTTTGTGCAGGATGTGGAGTTTGAGCCAGGTGTTATGGGTGGGGCCCCTTACCAGTCTGGCAAGTATGCTGGGTCGCTGCGGAAACACCTGTTTCGGGAGCACTTGGGGCAGCTGCAGGACCACAGCGCAGACGTGAGTGACCCGGTGAGCGAGCACTTCTACCGGGGCGTGTGGCAATGCACTGCCACCCGGAACACACAGATATATGAGGAGGTGAGAATTTGCACATGTTGGTTTAACAATGCTCTATCAAGTACACTTATGTGTAGCTTCTAAATGATGAGTTGGGTGGAATCATTGGGAGGCAAGAGGAAAACTGTTCACTGTAGGATACATTGTTAGAACTTGTATTGTTGGTTTGATACACAGGTTTGGTTCATGAATCATCCTTCCATTTGACACTGTTTAGTCTGAGTTACTGACAGTATCATTAAATAAACCATAAGTAAAATGCAGTTCTGTTCCACGGAGTGGCTCAGTTTGTTTGTTAGATGCTATTAGTTGATTAGTTAGTCAGTTGAGGTACTGCAAACAAGTTCTACACAATAACAGTGTGCTTACATAACACAGGTGTTCCGGTGCATCCCGTCAGACAGTGTTGCTGACTTCCAGTCCTTGAGGCGCTACCAGGAGGAGCCGCTGCTGTGTTATAGCGATCCACTGTTGGCTAGAAAGAAACTGGAGGATGTTAAGGTGAGACAGACAGACAGACGTGCCAGCTTGTTCTGATGTGCTGTCTAACTGCACCAGTTGATACAGCATTCTGTTACAGGGCAACTTGGTGAATCTGCCATTGCAGTTCCTTAGCAGTGAGGTTCTTACACCAAACTCTGCATCCGTAGAGGGTATAATGCCAACAGCCTTGTGGACATGAACAAGTTATAGTATCTCCGTGGTTGCTTCTGTAATTGCATGTGAAGTGATGGCCATGGTTTCTGGACTGCTGGCAGTCACTCCAAAAGGTGCTTGGATAGTACCTGGAAATGAATCGAGAACACATCCTTTACCATGTCAGTTTTACAGTAAGCAGCCTGTGTGTTTGGTAGAACAATATCTAATGACAACTGCAATCAGAGACTGAATTCACAAGATGCCGTGCCTTGGCAGTTAGGACACACAGGCAGGATCCTCTGGATAGATCATAGTTGTTGTTGCTTGCAGTTATTATTTTTGTATCCATCCTGCCCTCTGCCTCTGTGTAATAGCAAAGGCAGACAGATTGAGAGGGATCAGTGACAAATGTATTTGTATCCTCAGTTTAAACATATCAACCCATCTGCATCCTTCCACACTTCAGGTAGAAGTGATCATATTTGTCCCCAATGCTCACCATCTACAAAACAGAGAGAAGTGCTTTCATTGACTTCTGGTGTTGCTTGCACCGTCTTCCATTTTCTAAACAGTATACGGTGGAACTCCTCATTTAAGATCTCTTTGAGGAACTGTGAATTTCAACACTAGACTGAGGAAAGTCTTAAATGTAGGAAATTTGATACTGGGATTATTTGACTTGGGGTCATTGAAATTGGATATAAGATGAAGGAAAAACATTAAATTGAGATACATTAAGTGAGGGTTCCACTATATATCATAAATGCACTCACAGGTGGCACTAGAGTCACCTGAAGCAATCCTTTGTGTTTTCTGTGAAAGTACACTTGTGCAGTGATCATAGCTTGAAGCATGAGCACATAGAGGTATGTTTATGGATGTGAATGGGTTAAAATACAGGGTAGCCATAGTTTAGTCACTACATTGCAAACAAATATGAAATACAAGAGGTGCCCAGACATGGTTTACTGTGTTTGGAAGGAACCACTCAGGCATTTTAATGGAAGTTTATAGTGCATGCATAATGAAGAATGGTATGATCACCACATGACACGAAAGAGCACTCCATACATTTAACTTGGGGTTATTTTGTTCATACTCAACAAACCACAAGTGGATTTGCAGAACCCCAAATTCTGGAGCTGTATTTGTTTACCATACCAGACAAGTGAAAGGCTGACTTATCACTAAAAAGACATCCAGCAAGCTGTTCTTAGCATCAATCCATTGGAGCATATTTGAGCAGATTGTTCCCAGTGTTGCTGAGTGTCTGTTCAAATGCTTGTATGCTTGCAGCTTTAAGCAATGGTGGGGGGTTTCTTGTATGGTTGCCCAGGAAAATTGGAAGGTCAGTGGTAACATGATGAGTGGATTTCTGAAGGCAGTACTGGAAAGCCTCAGGAACTGTGTTGATCATGTCATTATGAATGGAAGGCCTATCTTGGTTGTTCTTATACAGGACATTGCTTGTCTCCCTGAACTGTTCTGGCAAGTGCTCAGCGAGCTCCTGTCTTAGTGCCTCTTTCACATTCCAAATGATACTGTCTTCACACTTTTGTCCTGTGTAAATATGTTTGAATATCCCACTGGTATGCTAGAAATAATATTTAATAATTTTTAATGATGATTTAACAGTGTACATCACTAATGATCACTGATCACTGATGATGATGCAACCTTCTCTTAGTAACATTTCATACCATATTTTTCATGTCTCCTATAAAAGTATCTGTATGAACTATACAGTGCTACTATGTACAAGTTGATTTTGATATGTGGCTAGTGGAGTTATGTTATATTTTTTGGCCAAAGGGCAAAAAATCGTTTTCTAATATCGAATATAGTAGTAAGATTGACTGTCGATAATATTTTGGGTATTCTGGCCGCTGGGAGTATAACTCAGGTTCCAAATTATGATGGGGGCCTGATAGTCACCTACACAGAATGAAATCACATGCTCACATATAGCACAACATGCAGACAGTCCTGAACTCAAGATCTTTGACACAGAAGGCCACTGTGTATTGACAGTTTTTTTTTTTTAATCTGAGCTGCTACTATGAAATCAGTGTCATTCAACTCTGTCCTGAGGCAAGTGAATGTAGTATGCAAATCGTTTTTCTATGTATATTATTAATATTATGCTTCACCCTACACCTTTCTTTCCCTTGAAGCTCCTAGTCCAGATTTTGCATGCATTTCTACTTTCCCATTGTGTGTGTTGAACTGCCCACCTTGCCTTTCTTCTTGTTGGCCGCCTTTCCAATTTACACTGGTCGATGGAAAAAGGTCTCAGAATGTCTCTCACAACTTTTCTTTCTTGATTTCTTGCTAGCCCTTCCTCTGTCCTTGATGTTTTTCAGTACCTGGCAAAACAAGTTTGTTCCATGCCATACCTTACATCTCTTTCACTTAAATTTTAATTCTGATTCCCTTCTTCATCTCCTGATTATTCTGTCTTTTTGCATGGCCAAACAATTATGACCATTTCCCTTCAAATTCTATTAACAAATTTTGAGTTGCACCTTCTTCTTTAATAATTTCATTTTTAAATCTGTTACTTCTTGCCTCCCCTCATTACTTGATGTAGTCATCATGAAAATAGTAGTTAGAAAGCACATCCTCTGTGACTTCATCATGCTGTACACTATTTAAAGGGTGAAGTAGGTGCTGTGACCCACATGTTGTAAACCCTTGAAATTGTCTTTGAATGGCAACAAGTCCCTACTCATGCAGCATTGTCTAATTTTATATCTACTTTGGTTCTATTAATATCCAAAATACATTCTTTGGTTAAAGAAATATTTTTTATTTACATAAATAAAGTGCAGGATTGTTTAGAGCTTTAGAAGTGAAACTGTAATAAGCTTCAAACCATTTCAGGGGTTATTCCTTTTATTTTTATTTTTATTCATGTAGTAGCTTGTTTTACACTAAGAACTAAACCTGTTTCCAGTGTGACTTAGTGTGAACCCTATATTGTTTTCTATTCTTATATGTCTAACCTCTCAAGTACGGTTGTGCTTTGGTCTGGACTCTCCTCATTTCCTCATTGCCGATGGTGGTGGGTGTAAGTTCGCAGAACTTTTACGTCCTTATCTTGATTACACTGATGAAGACTCCAAGTATGTAAACATCACTTGGGCCCCTGCTGGTCAGAATCATGTTCACTTTCAGGGGAAGCATGTTCCATTCTTCTAGCAATCCTTTGCTAAGGTTCTTCCTTTCATTTGTGAATCTTTGACATTGCCAGAAGACATGGCCTAGGGTTTCTTCAGATGTTTAGCATGTGCAGATCCTATTTGGCACAATATTACTATGTGCCAAGGTTGTGTGACCAATTCAGAGGTGGCAGATTGAGGTCACCACTCTTCTATTTAGTTTGCATTTGGCAAGCCAGGGGTTGGGGCCATTATCAAGGAACAGCATAAAGTATTGCTGTCCCCTGACCCATCCAACTTCCTGGTTCCACAGCTGGGATTCCTGTTTGGATTCTTTCCTCCATGTGCTTTTCATGTCCTCAGCTGGAATAGGGATTTGGCTATTTCCTCCGTGCCTGACACTGTACTTGGCTAGCTCATCAGTTTTCTTGGTAATCCCTGTGTGAGCTGGGATCCAATGTATCCTAACATGTTTCCCAGCTGCATTTGTCTCCTTATGCTGTTCCTTAATACAGGAAATGAGTGGAGATCATTTTCCAAAGTTTTTGACTATCAGATTGCAATCGTCACACACTTGGTGACTGAGAATATACAAAAGTTACAACCTTGTATTTAGTTGATAAGGGTGAGAGACCCAGAGATGACCATGGTCTCCACGATTGATATGGAGGCAATTTGTGATGTCCTTTAGCCCCAGCCTTTGCCCTCATTGTAGTCAAAGACTGATTTCCTCTTGTTTTTTCCCCCCCCTTTACAGCTTTGTCTTCTACTTTCTTGTAATTAATAAAGTTCGCTGTTTTGCTCCTATACTGGAACTGCCAGAAGGCTGCTTTATGCATTCTTATGAGCTTATCACATTAAGTGATGCAGGAGTAGCTTCCTTGGTGGTGTTGGATCCATCTGCCTCTGCTTCCTGCTATTGACTCTAAGATGGGGGAGTAGCTCCTTTGACTGTATCTGTTATTAGAGCTGTTATGGAAGAGAATTTGATGCAGGAGTGCAGGTTCCCATTATGAAGGTCTTAGGCTGCCTTGATCCTAGACTCCACCTCCTCTGAGAATTTATCCCAGTTAATTTTTTAGGTCAAAGGAAGAGCAGAGAAGAGTCAAAGACTGCCATGTGTTTGTTACAGTATGAAATACTGGCACAATGTAGGCATGTTAAATGTGTCTCAGAGATGTGGTATTGCTGTTTCAGCAGAGCAGTGGGTGAATTCACAATTTCAAATGTAGAGCTGTAACACACAGGGTTATGTGTAGGTGTATGTACTCACTGTGAAACCATTTTTACAGTAGCTTACTTTTATGAGCTGTCATGACATTAATAAAGGGGCACGCTTTAGCGTAGTTCGTTGAGGCACTGTGCTACAAGCCAGAAGGTTTTGGGTTTGATTCCCAATGAGGTTATTAGATTTTTCAGTTGACCAAATCCTCCTAGCTGCGCTATGTCCCTGGGTTTGACTCAGCCTCTAACAGAAGTTAGTACAAGGAATCTTCCTGAGGGTAAAGGGCAGCTGGTGTGAAAGGCTGACAGCCTCAGTGCCATCTGTGAGCCCATTGTCTAGAAAATATGGGAGCCTTGACATCTCACAACCTTATGGGCCTCAACAGCCTGTTACAGAGGTAGCTTTGCGTCTTCTTTTTTTTCCCCCTTTTCCTTTTTCTTTTTTATTTTTTGCCATGGCATTAAAAATGACTGTGGTGATTGAATTTACTGTGTTGCACTACCAACCATGCAGGTAACATTTTGGTGCGTGAGGCTTATTGAAGAAAGTCATATTTAGAATAAAGTATATACACTTAACAATTTTACTGCCACTGTGATCCCTGTTATTTTTTCCACATGCCAGTTGATGATCCATACATAGTTTTTACATTGTTCTGGAGCATCACCAATTCTGATGTGTGATGCAGTAATTACTGTCCATAAGGTACACATTTCCTTAAGAACTGTATGCTATGAGGGGACACATGTTGGTTGCACCAAACTATGTGCAGCCATTTTGGACTGGGTATCAGTGACTGCTGTGGCACTGGAAATGTTAATTACTCTCTTGCCATTGGATGCAGATGGCTCAGGAACATTGCTGATTGGTTTCATATACTAGAACCCAATGATTGGTTATTGCTCATATTTACAGGGTTGTGCAGTGCTGCCACCATGCAGCGACATGACATAGGTTCCTCATGTATATTACTTTTGTATATACATGTATTTTATTTCATATGTTACACCAGTAGCTAGTGGTAAATGCATTGTTGTATCATATTGTGTTAAGTTCTCTGTCCCACTATGTGAGTTTCATACCAGGAGTTGGCCACTGCATCGCACCACATCCATTTTATGAATAGCGATTGCAGTGGATATCTCGTGACTCTATTTTACGCCATATCCTTCAGTCCCTCATGACAGAAAACATCCTGATGCTGTCAGATTGGGATGTTTACTGTGTGTGTTAAGCATTACATGAGACATTTAATTTCACCACATTCACCCACAGAAACTGGGTCAGTATAGTAGCTAGGCTATGCTCTGGCCAGTTGAGGTTCCATTCCAAACAAGGGCAGATAGTCTTATCTTGACTGCCATGCCTAAATTGGCCCTGGAGTCCACCCAATCTCTTATCCAATGAATAAATTTTCCCAGGGGTAAAGGGCCAAGGGTGTGGAGTTAACTTCTCACTTTCATCTAGTACTGAGTTTAAGAATGCATGGAGCTATACCTCTGTCCCCTCCATATGTCATCATGGTGTGATGCTTAATTAAGCACAGGGCCATCTACCTTTGTTACCATTTATATAAAATACAGAAATAGTTAAATTATATCCAAGAAGGGGTTTGTTTAGGAAGTAATGGACTAGCATGAACCAGGTGTGTTATACACCTGAAATGGATTTCATATGGATAAGTGGAATGTGCAGTAGAATGAGAGTTCCTGGTAGCGAGGCACATACAGTTGGCAACAGCATCCTCTCTTTTCTGTCAGACAATTAAACTGTAATGATATGGTTTGTGAGACCATTATTCAACACTGCCAATACCAGAAACCCACAATCTCTGGGCCGTGTCCTTGTCCATTTTATCCTCAGCACTATTTTTCTTAAGATCCATTTTATTATTATCATTCCATCCCCATCTCAGTCTTTAAAGAATTTTCAGCACCAAAACTATGTGTAACCCTCATTCATGTTCTGTTTTGGAGTGTAATCTGGTAGGTGGATGCCAGCTTTTTGGAGAAATATACAGCTTGGATCTTCATTATGGAAGTGCATCCTCAAGATGGTGGCAGTATGTTACTCTGAATTGTTGGTACCAACCTACCAGACTGCACAGTGTAATGGTGCAGAAGACCACAGCATGAGTCTTAGAAAACAAGAAAGATGTAATATTGCATGTATTCCAGCACAGCAAAACAAAATATCTTATGCCATTATAGTGTAATCTGTTTGGTGTGGAGGGTATCGGTGTATATTTCAACTTCAGTAATTTCAAGTCAGTTGAAATATTCTCATGCAGGTAGCTACGTTAAGCTGGAATGGATTTCCAATATTTTGGGAACTGTCACTGTCTCTATCATCAAAATATTTCTGTGGTCATTAGCCAGGGATTGCATGATAATAGAGAAGCATTGTCCAAAATAGAAATTCATTCCATCTTGCCATAGCTGACCGCCTGAGAAGAGTTCATTGTATTTGCTTGTCATGAAAGCTTCAATCTTATATCTGAAATCTGACTTAAGTTACTGTAGTTAATGTCAAGCATATAGTGACTTCATTTCCCTATATTGGTGACTGATGCAGTAGAGTGTGTCTTTCTGGACATTAGACAAAATGCTTCTCTTTCATATTACCCCACAACACTTATGTATCTGTTACACCACATTCCATTCCATGGATCCATTGTTAGTCAGAATGACCACTTAATGTGGGAAAAGGTCATAAAAACGGAAAACAAATATGTACAGTACAACTGTAGCTTTCACATATAAATAGACACATAAAAAGTGGGAAGAAAAAAATATGCAAAGGGTTCAGGTAAAGTATTCAAAAGCTTTAAATAGATGCACACATATGCATTGATACTGTCCCCGTGTTATTTATGCAAACCTTTGAGAAGATTATGCGTCATTTTTAGATAATAAGAATTAGTCATCAGAGTCCAATGAGTATGTATTTAAGTATTTATTTAGTGCTACATTAAATTATGCCATTTTCATTCATAAGACTTGAGATGAGGGAGAAGATTGTTGAAAATTTTGGTGCCAGCATAGTATGTTGCCATACAATGTAGAACTCATAGCAAATACAACCTCACACATATACAGTATAAAAGTTGGTAGACCTTTTTAATGAACATATCTGTGGTATATTCAGCATGTTATTAACTGTATAGCTTTGGAACATGAAGTGTTGAATTGCATACAGGAATTTTAATGTATGATAATTTTGTAATGTATGATGTTATTTTGTATGTAAGATTGTTTCATAAAGAAATTAAAAATTATGTACACTAGTGGAAAATAACCTTGAGCTAGTATTTTTGTAGTACTAAGTCTGTACCCATGAGAATGAAATTGTAAATGTCAAATGAATTTATTCCAATTTCGTGAACTTGTAGTTGACACTACTGTGTTAATAAAACAATGCTATGGATTACACTGGTACACAATTCAACATCAGATCATGCTCCACTTTACTCAGGAGCCAACGGATCAATACATTTTTTTTTTTTCAGTTTAAGTGGTTATCAATTTGTAAAAGAGGAATTTTTTGTTTGCTGGTACCTATATATATATATTTATTATCATATTCAGTGTTAAATGCATATTTTGGTGAGTTATTTGTTTTGTCTAGATTGAGAGCCAGCTTGTTAGCAGTAGGCCACTTAACTCACACGAGAGCTCTCTTGACAGTATACAGAAATCATCAAAGTTTTTCATATAAATTATGACACTAGTATCAGTGGTGAATAGTATGGATACTAATAAGGTATTTATACTTGCAGGGGTCATTTATATAGATCATGAAGAGCAGAGGCCCTAGAATTGACCCATAGGAAAATGTGTTTTGTTGTTCCCCAGTTTGAGTTGAAATGTTGGGTTCCATTAGATAGTTTTATTTTGATCTTTTGTTATATACATGTTTGGTAGGATCTAAACCAACTATCTGCTCTTCTTTGAATGCTAGAAAAATGTAATTAAGTTGGTAAGACTTAATGATTTGTGTAGTCGGAACTTTTGCCAAGTTGCAAAACAGTCTTCCAGCATACATTTTTGGGTAATAGATTTTAAGGCACTGTTACTTTAAAGGCTGAGTTTTCTGTGAGTGTTCCTTTTCTGAAGCCAGACTGGTGTATTAGAGCACAGTGGTAGCTATATATATATATATATACACCGCCTGCTTTAACATTCAGAAATTCTGCATTTTACCCATGCAATGTATTTATGTGTTTCTTGTAACTATTAGAATAAACGGCCATTACTTCTCTATACTGCATTAGCTGATTAATCTTCATAAGTGAGACACATTGTTTTCTGTCCAGCAGTAACTGAATTTTTAAATGTTATTTAGACACACTTAGGTTTCAGAAGGTTAATACAATATGAATACCAACTGTGTGGGATATCATGTTACACTTTCAATTCACAAGAAATTTGTATCAGCATTTTGAGGAAAAGAATTGTGTTCTGTGATCAAGAAAATAATTTTTCCTTCTGCCCACCCCTCAAAGTTTATGAAAGAAAATCACAGATCAAGAGAGTGCAGAACTTGGAAATAGTGAAAGTTCTCAGGTTGTAGATGGGATGATATGGAACAGGGTACAAACAGATATCTGTCCTTTGCAGCTATTTCTGAGTTCCAACACCCAACTTTGAGTGGTGGGCAGAAGGAAAAATTATTTTCTTGATCACAGAACACAATTCTTTTCCTCAAAATGCTGATACAAATTTCTTGTGAATTGAAAGTGTAACAGGTCAAATACCTCCTGTCTTCATAGGTACTACTGTGGATTTCTTCACTCTCTTTAGGTAAATATTGTGATTAGTAACTGACATGAAATTGAGTAACGCTTAGTTCTGCATATTTTGTGGGGATGGAGGGCAGCTGGGTCAGTTTGGTGTTACAAACAAATGTCTTTGTTTTCCAGGCCCTTCATTTGTGAGAAAAATTTTAAGTCAGTGGGATGGTTGCATAACATTACAGACAAGCATGCAAATGATTTGCAAGTGCCATTTAATTCATGGCAGTTGCATTCTGAAATGGACTGTTGGCTAACTCCATCATCATCATCTTACCATCCCATATGATACTACAGAACCTCTGTATTTGGAATGATGTCATTAAATAATTGTAAGGCTCAATTATACAAAATCTGACACAACATGAAGACAGATTTACGCTCTCAGAATGAAGTATAACATAATTATGCAAATATTCAGGGGCATATCTTAGGGAATAAATAAGGTGAACTGTCTTACTCTGTGAAAGAATAACGGTCAGCTGTAGGAAGGTAAGCATGAAAATATCTGCATTGACAGTTGACTGGGATCTAGCATAAGACCAAGTAAGTTAAGAGTCCCTGAAACTAGCACGTTCATTTCCAGTTCATAATGACTAGGCAAATAACTGTTCATCCTTAACAAATCCCTATGGTGCAGGGTTCTGTATAGTACATAGTTGGTTAGTAGTCATTGCTCTGTTGACAAAGTCCCATAATCAAACTTGATCCTGAAGCATTTGAATAGATTCAATACATGCATTTATTGAAGATTGGTGTTAATTTTCTGCCATCTCTGGCATACATCTTCCAAGTGGTGTTTAATTTAACATTTTCTAAAAAAAATAGTTTTAATTTCTTCCATATATGCTACATGTGCAGCCCATTATTAACATAACACTTTCGTTTACTGTTCATTACTGCACCGCCCCAAAATTTAATTTTTGGTGTAGTGCAGGGTAATTTGAATTAAACGTTTCGATAAATAACAGTGAACGCTGTCCGCCCCCCCCCAACCCTTGTGGCGTCATTTCTTTCCTGACATTAGAATTAAAGTAGCCCTGTTCCTGCTGGGTCACAGTCCTTCAGAACTTCGTTTGGTTTGACTGAATGCATGTTACGGCAGAACCGTCGTGTTGTTCGCAGCACGCAAAGTCTGTGGCGTTGCCGAATATCTCAAACAAGAAATACAGCAAAGTTTATAGAAAATTTTTCCAACTCGAAGTTGTAATGTATCAATGAATGGTGCCTTTGTCCTTGTCCCATGAGTAATCGAAGTTAACGGAGTGTTAAGGGTAGTTCACACAACTCTAGCAACACTACGTAAATATTCGCACTATGCTAACAAAATAATTGTTTTAAATATTTTTATTTTGATTTGGGGTCATTGGGTCAAACATTCATATTTAATATCTCGACGTTACGAAGTTATTACTCCGACGAGTAAATTATGTAATTGATCACCGGCCAATGAACAGTGAGAGTGAACCACAGGGGTGGGGAGTTCGTGACGTCAGAGTGACGTCACATTAGTGTTGCTGTGCGTACCAAACAAGATGGCAGACGGTGTGTGTGCAGTAGGGACGACTGATAGTGTTAAGGATTCTGTGGTGAAGCAGAGTGTGGATTTGCTCAGTATTTCACACAAGGATTGTTTAAATTCCAATACATTGAAATCTTCGTTTTATATTCACGGTGACAGTGGAGAGTTGTGTTCGCGTTTTGAAATCGATGGCGTGGTGGAACTGGGTGTGCGCGCTTCTGCTATGCTTTGTGGTGCTAGCTCCGAGTTTTGTCCAAATAATGGAGATAACTGCAGAAAAAAGCGATGTACCGACAGATATGATAGTTCGGAAAGCTCAGACAGGTAAGTTTGAAAGGTTTTGACGGGGCCAAAAAATCTACTTGATAAGAAGGTTTCCACACAAAGGAAATGTACGCTCTCAGCTATATTTGTTGTGCTGTGACTTGTTTTCAGCTGTAGGGAAGATGCTCTGAGAGCCGATGTAACCCTAAAACGAAACCAAGTACACCGCAAGCGAATATCACGGTCAGTGTCGAGCTAGCCGTGGCAGCGGACCCTTCACCTAAATTCATGGCCGCACCCGCTGAAATTCGGCCAATCGAAAGCGAAAATACAACTGCATGATATTTGTGTTTGCACTCCTCTCCCTTTCACGTAATGCTTTCGTTCTTTGTAATAATGAAGAGTGTGCCGACGTGACGTAAATAAATCACGAAGATGGTAATTGAAACGCTTAAACTAAGCAGGGATGCAGGATCTCCGTGTGGAGAGCTTTAAATTGTAAATCCCTCCTAATGAGAATCGTAACTCAAGTCGTGATCAGCGTGTGCTTATGCCGGCGATCCAGATGATATTTATCGATTATTAGCAGCAGTATTAAGTTTTAAGTGCTTTGCTACTGAATCCTGTATTTTGTTTTGATTGTCTGCTATGTGGCAGCCTCATAATACCAATACATTTGTAGTCTAGGAGTCAGCTGTTTTATTAGAGGTAATTAATGAAATCGAAGGCAACCCAAAGATGGATTTCTGCAGTGTTTTAAGAGTCAGCTGTTTTGTTAGAGGTAATTAATGAAATCGAAGACAGCCCTAAAAAGGATTTTTTTGCAGTGTTTGTGCGTTAGTTGTCAGGTTTTGTCCATTGTTATGTTATAGTTCTTTTTACGCTCAAACGAATGCACGGTGTGCGTTGATGGAGACGCGATCTTTGTGTTGAGTTCAGTTACTGCGATGGCAGCAGACATGTAAGTGTTGCTGTAAGACTGTGTGTTGGGAACCTCAGACTCTAGGGCCTGAGTACTTTTGTCTCTTTTGTACATTTGTTGAAACTTAGACTAGCCCCAGACGGAACAAAATTGCACTTCGCAGTTAACAAATGTGCACCCGTTACTACTGGTTTGTAATATGGTAACCACTTTGCGAACCTCAAAACGCAGAATAATTGATATGAGTTCATTGTTTTCATTCTAAGCGAGAGACACGGTGTGGCCCAAACCCCGTCTCTCGCCAGTGGCATGGTGACGTAGAATGTGATTCATAATCAAGTATTTCGGTTTTATGGCAATCAGATAACAGTTGAAGCTTCCCCGATAGCACTCTTTTCATTTATGTTACGTACTGACATTGGTCGTCTCTGTGTCTGGAGACGGGGGTGAAGTGGACAAAAAGCCAGATCTGCTAGCGTGTCTGGGGTGGCCTTTGTGTAATGTGCTGGGGTTGCCATCAGTGGCCTTGCTTCAGACGTATAACAAGAAATGTTGCTTGTCGGTATGCAGTTATCGCGTCTTCTTCCCAGTCAGGAAAGTTCAGGTTTGTACATAATTATTTTGCTCGTAAGTCAGCTTTATCATAAAGCAAAATGCGTGGGAAATATTTGTACTGAGTGGGGGCCGTAGGAGTTTCATTGCCCCGCATAAATTGGCCTGGAAATAGGGACTCAGATGCTGTTGTCGAGATGAGAGGGCAACTCTAGGAGCGGTTACTGAATGGCAGGCCCTTTTTTAAAACACATTTAGCGAGCTGTTCAACCGCCAACATCATGATGTTAAAGGAAGGTTGGTCCAATGCATAATTACTGTATTACCACGATTTTAAGACTCACTTCTTTCATGTTAAAATTTCTGAAATCATGGTGCCTCTTGCATTTGATGACATGCAAGAATAATATCAAAAATTATATTTAATGACTGAAGCGTAAGGAAAGTCATGCCCAAAAAATACAGCAACAGAGTAGATTACAAAAATATATATCAGTGTATTTCCTTTGTTAAAAATGCCCCTAGTGTGACAGTGACACGTAATGCGGGCATGGAGGCCGAAACTAGCAATAAAAGGTAAAGTTGCCTCTGTGCTTAAGTAATTAAGCACTACGCCATGACGACGTATGGGGGAGCGGATATATAGATCCACGTATTCTTGACCTCGGCACTGGTTTGAGATGAGTTGTCATTTTCACGCCCCGACCGCTTTACCACCATGGTGCTCATTGGATAGGAGGCTGAACCGGTCTGGACGACGCGGAGAGGATAAACATCTTGCCCCCGAGATCGGTCACCGTTCATTGTTACACTTGTGCTTAGTGATGCATCTTTTAAAGCCTTTCTTTAAAACATCACCCGGGAATGGGTGGATATCGTTGGTAGTGTTGAACATTCGGTTGTCGTTTCAGTTTGCTATTGTATATGCATAGTGCTACACGTGGGTGTATTTTAATTCCTACGCGAAATTTCGACCCCCAAATTCCGTAGACATTTGCCACTTTACAGTGCCATCGAAACGGTTCCGTTATGAGACGGCATTAAGACGGAAATTAAGGTTGCGTCTTACAATCGATAGCACCTTTTCTTCGCCCTTGAAATCCACTATCAGATCAGGAGTACGCCTGACATTCGATGGCGTCATAGACTCGAGGTAATCCGGTAATTCAGTACCACTCCGTGAAAACACACGGAGGAGTGGAGGTGTAGTTCCACCATTTTTAACCTTTGCGCTACATGGAGATGAGTGGTCAGTTTGACCACCGGGGTAACACCTCCTGGTACCCATTGTAAAGAAGGATGAGTGGGCCCCAGAGAAGGTCTTTGCATTATACGACATTGCTGGCAACCAACCGGTTAATCGCGTTTAGGGAAATCATCGCTGTTTATTGAGAATTATACGAACGCATATGAATTTACTATTTGGCAAATTTTAGAGGCTTTGAATGTTAAAATCTTGTCGACATTGGTAACTGGAACAAAATGCAGTATTTGCTCGCAACTGTTAACTGGAACAGTCGCTTCGCTATGACGCCCCTCAACTTGGCTTTCTGAAATATGTAACCGGCTTCACACGCTCAGAGACTGCCTTCATGTGTAGGTTGTTGAAACGAAAGAATCCTGTTGCGCAAAGTGTGAACACTTGACAGTACTGCCAGCGCTGCTGCATGCTTTTCTCATTCATTTAACCCTTTAAAGACTGAATTTCTTCACAGTTTTATATTAAAATTCAGTTCGTACCTCACAGGAAATACATTACGTCTCCTGTACAGAGGCCAACCGGTTAATTCTGTTTCGGGAAACAAACGTTGTTTATTATAAGAACCATACGAAACACACAGATACACTGTGTGGGCAGAATGCAGGGTTTTAATATGTTAATGCATTTGGTACATATAGTGACCACTGGGCTTTAAAGGGTTAAAGCACCATTAATTATGTGTGCGGCATCATTTGACATTCAGAAACACTGCATTTTGCCCACGTGTTTTTTATGTGTGAAGGTAAAACGACCGAGTTGTCCCACTCCTTGAACATGTGTGCGGTTATCGAGGTATGCCCTCGCTCTAAAGCGTAACATCGACACAAAATGGACAGTCCTCGATAAGCATTGGATATGAGGCCGGGCGGCCAGAGAGCCCATCCAGACAAGTAGGTAAGAGAATGGCCTCTTGCCCCTCGGAGGAACTGAACTTCAGTTCGTGGGCTATCCAGCCTGTATCTCAATTACCATATCGACTGAGCTATTTGGTACAATTCTTGCAATAACGTCAGTTATATCCCCATACAATATTAACCGGTTTATCTTGTACCGGAGACAGAACCTTTTTTTGTGAGGCAGGAACTGAATTTTCAGAAGTTGTTTAGATGGACTACAGCTTCAGAGCGGTAGTCGTGAGTTATTATTGCTTTTCTTATTTCAAGCACAACAACATAATTTTGGTAATGGCCTGCGTTATGGAAAGTGGAGCGGCTTCAGGAAACGTCTAACATCGATTTTTTAAATCGAGAGAAGTGTGTTGGAACTTCGTCACGTGATGTTGAAAGCACTTGAAGATTTTAAAGGTTATGAATTGTTGAGGAATACTTTGAATGTGAAACGAAACGTATTATGTAGGAAAAGCGCGTTGTATAACAGGCATAAGTTTCTGGTGTCGTTTGTTTATTGTATGAAATGAACAGGTAACAAGGACCTAATGACTGGTCAGTCGTATGTTTCATGCCTGCAGATCTCATTGAAATTTGAGGGTCACATTTAAAGTTCTGATGCAATATGATTTTATATCACAATGAGTATTCTTTCGAAAGAGTTTTAGAAGTCCCAGGATTTCTTGTGAACAAATTTTTGCTTCCACCCTGGACGTTTTAGTCACGTGGGAAGTACACGGCACCTTTGACAACAAATTTTGACTCAGAATAAGTACATATGTCATCAGGATGGAAAGGTTTTGTTTATATATACATGAATATTTTTTAACCAGAAAATGGGCTCTACATGGGGTATTTCTGACTCAGAATTACTGGATTTTAGGAATTTGTCCATCGTCAGGTATTCTAAAAACTATAAAACACCGTTTCGGAAGCTGGATCTGTTCCCATCCTCAGGTAAGAGGAGACACCTGCTCTGTTGGGTCTCCTAGAAGGAAAAGAACTAACCTCAATCACTAGATTGACGTTAGCTGTTTCTGAGGGACCCAACAGAATAACTGTCTCGATCACTGGATTGACGTTAGCTCTGTCTAAGAGACCCAACAGAATAAATATCTCCCCCCTCACCTGAAGAAAGGAACAGATCGAATTTCCAAAACTTGTGTTTTCTAGTTTCTAGAATACCGGGCGATGGACGCAGTCCAAAAATCCAGTAATTCTGAGTGTTATACATCACCGTCAGCACCTTTTAGAATCAATTTATGACTTGTATTGCCGAATTAGCTTGACACAAAAGCAGCGGGTAATAGAAAATGCCGAAGATCGCTGTTGGACAGTGTGGCCGTTTTCACTCTGTTCGATCTACTTCTCCAGTTTGGACCGGACTTGTGCTTTGACCACAGTAAGGGCTTTCAGTATTATTATATTATTTATGGTC